GTGGAGTCATGTTTTGGGCCGGAATCATGGCAACAGAGCTGGTCGGCCCCGTTAGGGTCCCCGAAGGTGTAAAGATGACCTCTGCAAAGTATGTGGAGTTTATGACTGACCACTTTCTTCCCCGGTACAGAAGGAAGAACTATGCTTTCCCTAATAAAATCATCTTCATGCATAACAATGCACCATCTCATGCTGCAAAGAATACCTCTGCATCAATGGCTGCTATGGGGATAAAAGGAGAGAGAGTCATGGTGTGGCTTCCATCCTCCCCTGACCTCAATCCTATTGAGATCCTTTGGAGCATCCTCGAGCAAAAGATCTATGAGGGTGGGAGGCAGTTTACATCCAAACTGGGAGGCTATTCTGACCTCTTGCAAACAAATTCAAGCAGAAACTGTTCAAAAACTAACAAGTTCAATGGATGCAAGACTTGTGAAGCTGCTATCAAATAAGGGGTCCTATGTTAAAATGTAACGTGACCTGTTAAAATGTTGTTAAAAGTTTGATTGAAATAGCTTTTGATTTCAGTAAATATGCTGCAAACACAACAAATGACAATTTTCAGTTCTTTACACTATAAAGTGTTTTGAAACTTACTGTGCGTAATAATTTGGAACAGTGCATTGTAAGTTTTTTTTATGTTTAAAAAAAATACTGTTATTAGGAGGTTTGTTCAATAAAATTTGAATTGTACTCTTAATAGTTGATAACATGAGAATTATGCTGACTGTTATTTACATCAATTATTTAGGTAAATGAGAAAAATATAATTTGCATAATAATTTGGAACAGGGTGCATATAAAGCCTTTGATTCTCTATCCTGGGAATATCTGCGGTTTGTGCTGTCTCGTTGGGGTTTTGGGGATTCTATTCTTTCTTGGATTCAAGCCTTGTATTCTTCTCCTTCGGGATCCTTATTACGCTGGGTATTTCTCGGATCCCTTTCCTATTGGGCGAGGAACGTGACAGGGTTGCCCCCTGTCCCCAGCACTCTTTGTCCTGGTGCTTGAGCCGCTGGCTTTAGCGCTCCAGACCAATTGCAATGTATCGGGGGTTTCATACGCGGGACAGGTTTAAGCTGAACCTTTTTGCGGACGATGCCCTCTTGACTCTTACTAATCCTCTGACGACGCTTCCTAATTTGCAACGGGTTCTTGAGCGCTTCTCCTTGATTTCGGGTCTCCGAATTAACTTGGATAAGACTGTCTCTCTCAATATTACTTTGGCTTAGCTCTCTATCTTCTCTTATGCATTCCTGGCAATTTCCGCACCTGTCTTGGATAGGACGGGTTCATTCGGTGAAAATGACCATCCTGCCGAAATTGTTATATTATTTTCGCACCCTCTCAGTGCGGGTTCCCCCTCATTTTCTTCGGTTGCTTCAGGTGAAGTTTATGCGTTTTATCTGGGCCGATAAGCACCCCAGAGTCTCCAGAAATACGCTCTTTGCTCATAGACTCCAGGGTGGTCTTGGGGTGCCTAATGTAACTAAGTATTATCAGGCGAGCCAGATTGCCCCGCTGTCTATGTTGCATGCTTCCTCTAACGTTCCTCTCTGGGTCCTGCTGGAACTACCTAATTGTGCCCCTATCGCACCGTCAATCCTTCTATGGCTTCCCCCTGCCCTGCGCCCTATGGCACTGAGTCCGATGTTGCTCTATGGCTTACAAATCTGGGACTCGGTACGTTACTCCAGTGGCCTGATTTCACCTTTTCTGCCTTTGCTCCCAATTATTAACAACCCTCTTTTCCCACCGGGTTTAGATCACCCAAGGGCGTTTTCTTGGTGGGTGACTAATGGTTTTTCGCAGGTGCGACACTTTTTGATTTTTTGGTCCTTCCCCACCTGGAATTCTCTTCGGGGGTCCTGGGATGTTCCCCCGGCGGACTTTTTTCGATACCTTCAATTGCGGCACTGGCTGCTCTCTCTGCGGGGCACTTCTGCTTTCCCGTACCAGAAATCTGCCTTTGAACAGCTTTGCCAGCAGTGTCCGGGCGCCCCAGGCCTTATATCCCTTCTTTTATGCAGCTCTGAAGAGACTCTCGTCGCATACTTCTCTTTCATATGTTGTTCAGTGGGAGCGAGACCTGGGAGTGGCTGTGGATCCGGAGGACTGGAATAAGGCCTGGTCACTCATAGCTAAATGCTCATTCAATACGACCACGCTGGAGGCAGCCTATAAGGTATTGTTTCGTTGGTATTGGGTTCTGGCTCATTTGGCCCAGGCTAACCCTGCCTGTAGTGATCGATGTTTTCGGGGTTGTGGCCATCGTGGCGATGTATTACATATCTGGTGGTCATGCCCGAGACTGTTTCATTTTTGGTCTCGTGTGTTTGGCCTCCTTTTCACCTTGTTCCATCTCTCCATACGCCGGGATGCTCGGTATGCCTTGCTTCATTGCCCCATACCGGGCCTCTTGGCTCACCAGCAGAAGCTGGCTTCCTATTTGTTTTTATTGGCCACTAGAACAATTGCTCAGGCCTGGAAGAGTCCGTTTGTCCATCTTCAGGGGGTGCGGGATCGTATGACCACTATGATGCTCAACGAACAGATGTCGAGTATCTGCAACGACTCCCAACGTAAATTTTTTAAAATATGGGAGCTGTGGTTGCAATATGCCTTTCCCATGCTCCCCCCCGGCTAGTCTGGGGATGTAATGGCGTTTAGTATTGGTGCTCTTGGACCCCTGCTCTTTTTTTTTTTTTTCCTTTCTCTGTTTGTTTTTGGGTGACAGTGGACAACTGCCTTTAGCTATTATAGTCAGAGTTTCATTGTTATTGTAACTTATGTGCCATTGATAGCCCCTGCATGGGCGTACCTTTTGCCTTGTTGGTGTTAGAGCACTGTTTTTTCTATTTTGCTTTTTTTATCGGTGCAATTGATAGCCCCTGCGTGGGCGTGTGTTTTGTTGCCTCTGTTTTATATTGTTTAACATTAATAAAAACCATTGAAATACAAATAAATAGTTCAGATTGCTGGTGTTACATTACTTTTGCTTTGGTAATGAATTCTTAAGGTCTTAGCTAACCATTGTGGTGAAGTTCTAAACAACTGGTCCTAGATATTTACAGTCTGATTTTACAAGCTACTAAGTATACAGTAAATTGTACAGAAATCTAAAAGTGTGGTTTCACATAAAATGCAGTACATTTGCTAATTATAGATTTGAAGAAGGTTGTATGAAACGTAAATTACAAATTAGGAAAGGCACACTGCAAGATTTACCAACAAATTTGACATTTCTACCTGATTGGATATAAATGGAATGCATAAAGGAGAATGTACCATCAGATTGAAGTCTGCATGGTAATCTTTAGATTTGTCAAAAATGTTGTACTATGGTGAAAAAAAAAAACCACAAGGAAAAGCCACAAAACACTTTGGATAGGTCATGGTGAGACATACATTTCCTTTAACTAATCAGAGTATAGTGTAATCTATATGCTGACGACACACAAATTATCTCTCAACCCCCAACCTCACCCCCTCAGTCTCTGCCCGAATCCTACTGAGCGACATATCTGACTGGATGTCGCTCCACTTCCTTAAAGTGAATCTCTCCAAGACAGAGTTTCTTTCTTCCCCCCATCCCGGACACCACCCCCCATTGACTTCTCCATCATGTCCAACAACGCCACCATCAAACCCGCCCCGCAGGCCAGAGTACTTGGTGTCATTCTGGACTCCAACCTATCCTTCCAGCCCCAAGTCCAATCTTTAACAAACTCGTGCAGACTCCACCTCCGCAACATCGCCAAAATCCGCACGTTCCTAACCCCAGAAACCACTAAACAGTTCATCCACTCCCTCATCATATCACGACTCGATTACTGCAACTCCCTCCTTCACTGGCCTGCCTCGCCGCTGGCTATCCACGCTTCAGTCGATCCTGAATACAGCAGCCAGACTCATTCACCTTTCCAACCACTCCATCTCCGCCACCCCCCTCTGCCAATCCCTCCACTGGCTCCCGATTGCGCAACGGATCAAATTCAAAATCCTAACACTGACGTACAAAGCTGTTCACCATACTGCCCCGAACTACATCACTGACCTAACATCCAAGTACCGCCCAGCACGCACACACTCCGCTCCTCACAAGACCTCCTTCTCTCTAGTTCCCTGGTCTCCTCCTCCCATGCCCGCCTCCAGGGCTTCTCCAGGGTGTCACCCATCCTCTGGAACTCCCTGCCCCAACCCATCAGATTATCACCTACTCTCCTCTCCTTTAGGTGCACCCTGAAAACCCACCTCTTCAGGGAAGCCTACCCCACCCCCTGCTAACCTGCCGACCTCCTCCACTCTTCCTACCACTCCATCCCCCACAGCTATCTCCTCCTGTGCCACCATCCCCTCCTTCCTAGATTGTAAGATCTAAAGAGCAGGGCCCTCAATCCCCTCATGTTTTGCATTGTATTGGTATTGTTCTGTCACATGTTCTGTCCCCTTTTGTAATGTACAGCGCTGAGCGAACTATCGGCACTTTATAAATACTGTATAATAATAATAATCTGTAGCCTGAAATACCGCTTATAATCCCAAGTGATCATTCTAGGAAATGCAACCACAAAGACCGGGTAATGTAGTATTTAAATTTTAATGAAAAAAAACGGGACTACAAAAAAAACTATAAACAATCAATAAATAAATTGCCTACTGTGCAACATCAGTAGGACCAGATCTGGAAATAACTTGATCCCAGTTTCATATAGATACATACAGTATATAAATAGAAAACCCACTAACGGTTTAAGAAATCAAACATAGAGAGGCTTGTTTCCATGTTTTATACACCATTCAATAGCACAGGCTCTAAAGCCTTTCCAATTCCTCTTAGACTGACAGTGATCATTTTTACAAGGACCGGTTCCACCCATATAAAGCCATGATGGTGCTGCGAGGCTTGTTATGTGCAAATTGACACTTTTAAAACTACACCTCACAGCCCTTTGGTTTGCAAGTCTTCTGTGGATATCCACGACCCCTGAAGGCCTTCGCTAGGAGGGAGTAGCTCCTACACGCATTATCCTGAACAAGGCATTAATGTTGTTGGTGCGGATTGCATCCCTGCATGCTGTGATCACCTGGGCCTTCGGTTTACCAACTGTAAATAAATGTGGAGAGTTTACACAGGTCAGAGGTATACAAATCTAAAGTTTCATTATCCAAAATCTGAAGATCATTTAAACTGTTTGGTTTTCATTGCCGTCTTTGTACCCTTTGGGAAGATATCCCCTCCCTTCCAGTTAAAGTGACAGTTGGCACCAGTTTAGAAAATAGGATACAGACAGCAATAAAATTCTAGGAAGTTTTAAACTATCACCACTCTATACGAAATGTAAAAAGAAAACGTTCTGGCTGGAGCTTAAAGAGACCCTGTCACCATGACCATACAGCTACAATGTCCCTGCAAAACTTTCCCCACCAACCCCCCTTACCACTTATGCACTTCCATTGTCATGTGACAGTACTTGAGCATAGCAACTGGCTGCTAGTCTCAAGCAATATCATAGGTGGCATTCCTGCAGTAGAAAGTAGTAGTGGGGGAGTTAAACTTTATTTTACCTTTAGTTTAGCTCAGTGTGAATAACACCACTGAAAAATTATTACATGCATTTGGAAATGTCCTCTATATGCAGGTTTGACAGAACCGGTGTGAATGAGGTCTTAAAGTGCACCTGTGCCCGACTATGAATATTAACCTATTTACACTTTCTTAAAGTGTTACTAAACCCACAACAGAAAAATCAGTCTGTATATGCAGTGAAGCATGCATGTTATACTCACTGTGGAACCCGAGGGGTTAATCCTCCGCATTGTGTATAAAGGCTGTTTGATCCTGTCTCCTCTGATCCTCCCCTTCCTCTACTGTCCCCAATCCATCTGCTGATAGAACAGAGCCTTGGGGGCAAGCTGCACATGCTCAGTTTGATGTGTATTGCTAGAGAGTTTTTTTTTTCTTGGAGGGTGCATGTGATCAGCACAGGGCCAATCAGTGCTGTCCAGACAGAGGGTCAGTGGTTATGCAGCCTCATAGGACAATCAGAGGAGAATTAAAACTCCTATAAACTTTAACCAGTGCTCAGCTAGACACTGATATAATAAATGCAGGGTCCTGGGTTTAGTAACACTTTAAAAAGCAAAAAAAGGAGCTTTAAAAGTAGTTCTCGCTAACCTCTCTTGGTGAAGTCCTGCAGGGGCAGAGCAGAGAGCGTTCTTTGCTCACTAAAGACCGAGTGATCAGCGATCTTTGATTTCTCAGTCTTAGAGGTGGTGAGGGACCGATGCCACCCAGGAGATTATGTATGTTCAATTTTTTTTTTTTCAAAATCCACACTTCTCTTTTAATTTCCTCACACTGTCTATAGATACAGAGATTAATTTTTTTAAGTGGTTGTAAAGGCTGAAGGTTTTTTTACTCTTACGCATTCCATACATGAAGGTAAAAACCCTTCATTGTGCAGCTACCCCCTCAGCCCCCGATCCCACCCAATACTTACCTGAGCTTGATCCCAATCCAGCGATATGCACGAGAGCAGCGGCTCTCCTGGCTCTCTTATTCCTCATTAGCTGAGACACAGCCGCGGGAGGCATTGACTCCCACTGCTGTCAATCACAGCCAGTGAGGAGGGAACGGGGACAAACTACAGTTTGTGTGTCTTATGGACCCTTAGAGGTGGCTCGGGGGAGCGAGCACGAAACGGGTGCCCCCAAAGCAAACAGCTTTCTCTGGGGGCAATCAACAAGGGGGAGGAGTCAGGAGCGCTGGTGGGGACCTGTGAACAGAAGGATCAGAGCTGCTCTCTGCAAAACCACTGCACTGAGAAAGCAGGTAAGTATAACGTTTTGTTTTTTTGTTTTTTCTTTCAAAGCTGAACCTTTAGTATCACTTTAAGCTATTTTACTGCTGGTTCAGAATATGTATATACTTTAGTGTGCATGATCTGGACACAGGTTTACTTTAGGACTGCCAGCTACATGCATGTTACCCAAGGCACTGCAAGTAAATATATTTAAATACCAAATCCTCTTGTGTGCAATGGGTAAGTACCACATTCCCAAGCCCACACTGTAACTAAGGTTTCAACTTCTCTCATTATGGAGATTTAATCTGCTTCTTCACCAACTTGGTATCCAATGACAGTGCCTCAGAAGTCAACAATGTCTTTTTTTTTAGGGGATTGCAATTTTGTAATACTGTTAAACATTCTATTCTAAGATCTCTGGTGATTTGCCTTCATAAAAACTCCTATGCAGACATACAGTTGTGTTCAAAATAATAGCAGTGTGTTGAAAAAAGTGAATAAAGCTCAAAATCCTTCTAATAGCTTTTATTTCCATCCACACAAATGCATTAGGAACACTACACATTCTATTCCAAATCAAAACATGAAGAAAAATATATCAAATTTGTGTTGTTCCTCTAAAAAAAATTGGAGAAAAGTGAATATTAGATTGTTCAAAAAAATAGCAGTGTTTGTATTCTTCTTTACAAACTCAAACATTCACTATATAAACTGAAAAAATGTTTGAAGATTTTGCTCTTTCCTTTGAATCACTTAATGAATATTTAGTTGTATAAACACTGTTTCTGAGAACTGCTGTACATCTGTGTTGCATGGAGTCACCCAACTTCTGGCACCTGTGAACAGGTATTCCAGCCCAGGATGATTGGACTACATTCCACAGTTCTTCTCTATTTCTTGGTTTTGCCTCAGAAACTGCATTTTTGATGTCACCCCACAAGTTTTCTATTGGATTAAGATCCGGGGATTGGGCTGGCCACTCCATAACGTCAATCTTGTTGGTCTGGAACCAAGTGTTGCACGTTTACTGGTGTGTTTGAGGTCGTTGTCTTGTTGGAACACCCATTTCAAGGGCATTTCCTCTTCAGCATAAGGCAGCATGACCTCTTCAAGTATTCTGATGTATTCAAACTGATCCATGATCCCTGGTATGCGATAAATAGGCCCAACACCGTAGTATGAGAAATATCCCCATATCATGATGCTTGCACAACCATGCTTCAATGTCTGGACCATTTTGGCTATTCTTCTATCCATTCGAATGGTAGTTTTTCGCTTTCTTCCACGTCTTTCAGGTTTTGGTTGTCATTTTAAAGCATTTGCGATCATTTTAGCTGAGCAGCCTATCATTTTCTGCACTTCTTTATATGTTTTCCCCTCTCCAATCAACTTTTTAATCAAGGTACGCTGTTCTTCTGAACAATGTCTGCAACGACCCATTTTCCTCAGAATTTCAGAGAGAAATGCACTGTAACCAGCATGTCCAACATTTGCTTCCTTCCTTCCTTAAATAAGGGCAATAATTGCCACCTGTTTTTCAAAGAATGAATGACCTCACTAATAGAACTCCACACTGCTATTATTTTGAACATGCCCCTTTCAATTAGTGATTCAATTACACAGAATCAGCAGCATGCATGTCGTGACTGTTGGGTCTGTTGGATTTCTATTACTCTACTACACCTGCTAGTAAATAATTTGCCATGTAGAGATATCATTTCTACCAAAAACAGTGATTGATCAGGTTAGTGATGTCTGACTGCTATTATTTTGAACACAACTGTAAATGACATTTCCTTTTCACATGTAACTAGTCCAGTACTGGCACACATGTCAGCAGACAGGATTGTTATACCACAGACTGTCTACAATGTCAATATAAACTACAATAAATAACTTAAAAGTTCTGTGACTCCCTAACATAAAAGTATCAATAGAACATGAGCAGCCACGTCAATACTGCAGGCAACAATACATCAAACAATAAAATATAAATGTAGCGCTGCACTTTTATGTTTTACAATATAAACTACAAGAAAACATTTTATAGAAACCAAATGTCTGCTTACTTGCAAATGCACTGCAAACAATGCCAGCTGGAGCTTTAGCACTGTGAGAAATAAATTTTCCTCTTCAATATAAGCACCAAATTAAACCAAACTCACCTCGTAAACGTCCTGCTCTCTGTATTGCTTGATTTACACACTTGAGATTGTTCAGCAATTCTGTATGATTGTTGCAGCGGATCTTGTAGCGATTTACAAGGTCTCTGTTGAGGTCATAGAGTTCTGTATAACGATTTTTCATATTCTTCCTGTGTCAGGAGAAAATAATGACATTACACTAATCACAATGTATAAAAGTCCCTTTTTTCTATCGTTCATTGATGGACACAGCTGTGCTTCTCATGGATGAGTTGGATGCTACTGGAGAACTTGTTTACTACTCTACTGTGATCCGTCGCCACGATCACATGGTACCAGGGCCACTCACAGTGGCCCGGTACAATAATCAGTGATCCACTGTGTCTGCAAGGCACAATGCTCCCACCACTGCATGCTGTAGAGAGCGTGCACAAACGGCCGATACGGGAAGATAAATGGGTGCGTTCTCCCACATCAGTGCTGTTCCTATCTGGCCGCATATATACAGTGGTGGGAAGGGAGATGGTTAAACAGGGGCGACCGGTAAGTAAAATCAAATGTACATATTCAAAAGCACACCATGGATCTCCAAATATGGTCCAAAGAGGTTTTCATTGCAAAGAAGATCACACCACAGAAGACAGTGCAATGTTTCGGAGCTGCGCACGCAGGACCCCTTTGCCAGGCATGTGATAAGGCTTCCTTGTCATATGCCGGACGAAGGGGTCCTGCACAGCTCCGAAATGTTGCACTTTCTTCTGTAGTGTGATCTTTGCAACAAAACCTCTTTGGACCATATTTGGAGATCCATGGTGTGCTGGAGAATATGTATGTTTGCCTATGATGTTTCCAGTCCCAGCTCGTAGTCTCTACAGCACCCGCTATTTATGAGCCGTAAATCCAGGAATGTGTGTGACGGAAATATAGAAAGGCTGGTAAGGAAAGTCACACTGACGTGTATACCAAAGTGTAAGGGCCATATAACACTAGCAATCTGGTTGCTGGTGAGACCTTGCAAGCACCAGTATCATTACAGAGGGGTAAACAGGATAGCAGAATTACTTTACATACCTGTTTCTGTTTGTTGCTCCCTTGCTGGTGACTTACATTCTACAGTGTTTCATCACTTATCCCGCCAGTAAGGGAGTGACAGACAGGCAGGGGAGAATTTCCTCTAAAGTTTTTAGTGACAGGATCTCTACTGTGACATGGCCCTAAATGTGGGTAGTTGTCAGCAAGGCTAGTAAGGATAGAGATGCTTCTTTCTCACATTTCCATGTCACTGATGTTAACTGATGGCTCAGTAGAGGATACAGACTACTTCAGTTAAAGTCCAAGTGAACGTTAAGATGAAGGCTCTATTCCCACTTGCACGATTCCAAAGGCGCACAATTTCATTGTTTGAATTTGATGATCCAACTTCACACTCTCTGGACCATCATTTCAAAATTGCTGTGACAGTCCAAAGAGGTGCCATTGAAAAGAATGGAATGCGACTTGTCATGCCCAAATTGGCAAGACAGGTCACACAAATGTGAATGGAGCCTAACCCTAGGTTCACATCTGTGCGGGTGGTGCCGCTGCAGATCCGCACGACAATCCGTGCAGCCACACCACCCAGACAGAGAATTGCAGATCCACGGGCAGGTGCCATTAATTCTAATGGCACGCCGCCTGCACTGGAAAACGCAACTGTACTGAGAACCGAGGTTCCCGTGTGGGCTGCGTTTTTCCAAAGAAGTGCAAGGACGTCTTCCCTGCGTGTCACGGGCACAGGAGTCCATTCAAATGAATGGGCTCTTGTGCCCATGCAAAACGTGGCCCGCAGGGCCGCATAGATGTGAACTGGGGGTTAATCAGTTAAACAGATTCCAAATGCATCAAAACAAAAGATTTGCAAAGGCTTACGCTTCATCTACTTTTGAAAGCAGCAACAGCCTCAGTGGAAAAGCCTGTCCCCTACAAGCATTCTGTAGAGAGGGACAATTGCTACTGAAGCGATGGTCTCTCAAATCAGAGAGGCAGCATGAGCCTTGCCAGCTGTAGAGCTATAGGTCTGCCTCAGCAGGCAGGGGGGGGGGGGGGGGCATATTAGACCTCTGCAAAAAGACCACTGTTTCCCACAGATAGCAAAGGGCCTTCGCTGCAGCAGGTTTGGCCTTGTAGTATAATGCAAGGTCTGCTTATACTGTCTGGGACCTCTACTCTTGTAAAAAATAATCTCCTGCTGTTAGCAGGTGGAAAATATATCTGTAAAGAGGAAAGTTAGATCTATACCTACCAGACGTCTTCTGCATGCACCACATAGGCAAGGATGACAACATTCCTCTTCCAGCTGTACCATGGGAAATACAGAGTAGCTAAAATCTCACGAGAAGACAATCTTACAATGGACTGGAGTGTCTTCTTATGAGATTTCATCTATTCTGCATTCCTCTGGCATCTTCTTGGAAAGAAAGTGATGTCACAGCCAGCGGCGCATAAAACGTGTGTAAAGTAAGTATAAATCTAACTTTTTTGGGCATTTTGCACCTGCTAACTTCAGATTCTTAAAGCGGAGTTCCATTCACCCTGTCAAAAAATAAGTCAGCAGCTACAACTTTTAAAAAACAGCCACTTACCTGTCCCTCGGTCCCGTGGTGTGTCCCCTGCAGCCCGTTTCACCGGCCATCCTGTATTCCAGGAGGCTGGCATCTTCAGTGTGGGCACTATAGCTTGCGGCTTCACAGAAGGGTACCCACTGCGCATGCGCGAGTAGTGCTGCACTTCATGAATGGTCCTGTAGTCTTCTGGGACCTGTGACATGTCCCAAAAGACTACAGGGAGGGAGGACACCTTCCGTTTCCGATCGCCTAGGTGATCGGACCAGAAGTGGCAGCGGGTACCTGTCAAATTCGGGTACCCGCTCCCCTCGCCCCCCAAATGTGCCAATCCTTAATGGGGACCGGGGGAGCAGTCCTTAAAGCGGAACTTCCCCTTTTGGGTGGAGCTCCGCTTTAAGGTGGAGGTGCTCCAAAAAGCATATATGGACCCTGCACTGTGCTGCAAGGTTCGCTTTAAGTTCCTTCTTGCACACCAACTATACAGGGGGAGCAAGAGAACTCATGACAACAGGTTCACTAAACATGAACTTCTTTTATTCTAGTTACAAAGGGACATAATTATCTGGTTACAGGTTAAAACCTGCAATCACAAGACAGTGTTCAAGCTAGTATGGAAGAGGGCTTACATGTCCCTCATGAGGCGGGCATCCTCGGCTTGTACCAACATGCTGCGTATCAGGTTAGACTGATCAGCCATGTCTGCAGTCAGCTTCTGGTGTACTGAATGGGATTCATCTACCTGTAAGAAAAAGAATTGAGATAAAATATTTATTTTCTGTTCATCTAACAAGCAGGGTTTATCACAGTTTTCATTATTCAAAAGGCAAAATCCACAAAATTTAGTTTTGTTCATGCAGCTGCAATGTAAAGATACATTGCGGAAATTCTTCCAGTGCTCTCCTCCTCAAAATTGGAGTTGCTGCTGCCAATCCTTGGATGGAGCATTCTCCAATAAAGATAATGAAACCAATACACAGGCCTGCATGAGTGATTACATGCGAGCAACTGCGAATAGCTGAGGGAGCTGTCAGCCTCCCATTGTTTTCAGTGGGGCTTCCCCCCCCCCCAAGGCTAATTACTGAGATTCTCTGCTGCATCTCCCACATGTAAAAGCTAATGGCCCCATTCACAAGGGTAAAAGGGGCCTTAAAAGCCTGTGTAATTTTATTTTCAGCTCCCATCCCAGTCTACTCAAAATAAAAAGTATACTTTTAATGAACTTCTGCTACCTTCCACAGTGGCAATAATTGTACAGGATGTTCTCCATGACCAAAAACCTAATGCATCGATCCCTCTGAATCCTATAGTTCATACCAGATATACCACAGTTACATTTATAAACATAAGAGACTGTAAAAATGTTAGTATTTAATCAGGGCAGCAAGCTTTAACTCACCTGCACAAGCACTTTTCGGAGCTGACTGAAGTATTTGGGAAAATCTGCTTCCACAGGCAGGTCTTCAATGGCCAGAAATGTTGCCAGTGACTGAATAATGTCACCAGCTAGATCCATGTCATCTGTACATAGTGTGATCTGCACAGAGAGAATGATATTATACAGAAATTGGGACAAACAAATCTCACAGTGAATTGGGGATCACCTACCTCTCCGTTCGGTTTCATGTTTATGAGAAGAGTCCCCCCATCTCGCAGTGATGTAAAGCAGATCTGAAATGGAGCACTTTGTACTTCTGTGTCTTCTGGTAACAGAAAGTTCTGGTTCAACCACAGGACAACCTTCCAAAACAATGGGAAAATATAGTGGGTTTTGTTTCACATAAATCTATGTGTACCTACTGCCTGTACATGGCTTTGGGAGTCTATAAAATCACATGGAATGTCTAGCATCACTAAGGAAGGGCTTGACAAATCCCAGGTGCCAGGGCGACTAGAAATTGCATCCTGGCACCTGGGTTCACACACTGCCTCCCATAGACTTCTAAGGGAAGTCGCGCCCCATAGGCTTCTATGGGAAGTCGCGCCCCATAGGCATCTATGGGAAGTCGCGCCCCATAGGCATCTATGGGAAGTCGCGCCCCATAGGCTTCTATGGGAAGTCGTGCCCCAAGCACAAAGACCGGCGTGTCACTGAGAGCCCCGGGTCCAGTTCTAATGATCGGGACCTGGGACTCCCGATTATATGATCGCTGTGATAGCCTTGCAGGTGCATCCTGGCACCTGGGTTCACACACTGCCTCCCATAGACTTCTAAGGGAAGTCGCGCCCCGTAGGCTTCTATGGGAAGTCGCGCCCCGTAGGCTTCTATGGGAAGTCGCGCCCCGTAGTCTTCTATGGGAAGTCGCGCCCCGTAGGCTATGGGAAGTCGCGCCCCGTAGGCTTCTATGGGAAGTCGCGCCCCGTAGGCTTCTATGGGAAGTCGCGCCCCGTAGGCTTCTATGGGAAGTCGCGCCCCGTAGGCTTCTATGGGAAGTCGCGCCTCATAGGCTTCTATGGGAAGTCGCGCCTCATAGGCTTCTATGGGAAGTCGCGCCTCATAGGCTTCTATGGGAAGTCGCGCCCCCAGCACAAAGACCGGCGTGTCACTGAGAGCCCCGGGTCCAGTTCTAACGATCGGGACCTGGGACTCCCGATCATATGATCGCTGTGATAGCCTCTGATTGGCTATCACAGTGATCAGTCACTGTACAGCCCACCCCCCTTGGGTTTTTTTCTCTCTGAATGGAGGAGAGAGATACATTGTATCTCTCTCGCTCCTTGCATAGAGAAAAAAAAGCAACTGTTAAAAAAAAAATTTAAATAAATATTAAAAAATAAAAGCTTTGATCTAGTTCAGTGTCAGGGTTAGTGTTTGGGTCGAGGTTAAAGGTCAGGATTTTTTTTTTTTAATTGGTGTCAGTGTGTTTAAGGTAAAAAATCAAAAACCAAATGCGTACTCTTGTTTCTGGGCTGTAGTACAAAAACAACAAATAACATACACATATATGGTAGCGATGTGATCGTCAAGAGCTGGAAATGTTATTTTGGGCTGTTTGTAAGTAATGGTAGTAACAAGAAATACAAAGCTAAATTTAAAAAAATTATAATTTGTTTACTATTTTGGGCCAGTTTTCCTTTGATAATAAAAAAAAAAAAATCGGGAGATATCCATTACCATTTAACACCAAATGAAAGCCCAATTTGTCCTGAAAAAAACAAGGTATAATTCACCTGGATGTACAAAGTAGTTGTGATGATATGGACGGTTTTACTAACACATGGCAACATTGCAAAATTGTGCTTAGGCATTAAGATTTCTTTTATCCTTAGGCGTGAAGGGGTTAATAATGGCATGCAATGCCAAGCTGCAGTTTTTAAAGCTCCGGTACAAATCATTAGTAATACCTCATCTGGAATATGCAGTTCAGTTTTGGTTACCAATTCACAAAAGGATCATTGGGGAACTGGAGAAAGTACAGAGAAGGGAAACCAAACTGATAAGAGGCATGGAGGAGATCAGCTATGAGGAAAGATTAGAGGAACTGAATTTATTCTCTCTTGAGAAGAGGAGATGAAGGGGGGATATGATCACCATGTATAATACATAAGGGGGGATATGATCACCATGTATAATACATAAGGGGGGATATGATCTCCATGTATAATACATAAGGGGGGGATATGATCACCATGTATAATACATAAGGGGGGATATGATCTCCATGTATAATACATAAGGGGGGGATATGATCTCCATGTATAATACATAAGGGGGGGATATGATCTCCATGTATAACACATAAGGGGGGATATGATCTCCATGTATAACACATAAGGGGGGATATGATCTCCATGTATAACACATAAGGGGGGATATGATCTTCATGTATAATACATAAGGGGGGATATGATCTCCATGTATAACACATAAGGGGGATATGATCTCCATGTATAATACATAAGGGGGGATATGATCTCCATGTATAATACATAAGGGGGGATATGATCTCCATGTATAATACATAAGGGGGGATATGATCTCCATGTATAATACATAAGGGGGGATATGATCTCCATGTATAATACATAAGGGGGGATATGATCTCCATGTATAATACATAAGGGGGGGATATGATCTTCATGTATAATACATAAGGGGGGATATGATCACCATGTATAATACATAAGGGGGGGATATGATCTCCATGTATAATACATAAGGGGGGATATGATCTTCATGTATAATACATAAGGGGGGGGATATGATCTCCATGTATAATACATAAGGGGGGGATATGATCTTCATGTATAATACATAAGGGGGGATATGATCACCATGTATAATACATAAGGGGGGATATGATCTCCATGTATAATACATAAGGGGGGATATGATCTCCATGTATAATACATAAGGGGGGGATATGATCTCCATGTATAATACATAAGGGGGGATATGATCTCCATGTATAATACATAAGGGGGGATATGATCACCATGTATAATACATAAGGGGGGATATGATCTCCATGTATAATACATAAGGGGGGGATATGATATCCATGTATAATACATAAGGGGGGATATGATATCCATGTATAATACATAAGGGGGGATATATCTCCATGTATAATACATACGGGGGGGATATGATCTCCATGTATAATACATAAGGGGGGATATGATCTCCATGTATAATACATAAGGGGGGGATATGACCTCCATATATAATACATACGGGGGGGATATGATCACCATGTATAATACATAAGGGGGGATATGATCACCATGTATAATACATAAGGGGGGATATGATCTCCATATATAATACATAAGGGGGGATATGATCTCCATGTATAATACATAAGGGGGGATATGATCACCATGTATAATACATAAGGGGGGATATGATCTCCATGTATAAATACATCCGTGGTTCATATAGTGAACTCCGTGTAGAGCTATTCACCTTGAGGTCATCACAGAGGACAAGGAGGCACTCTTTACATCTGGAGGAAATGAGATTTAATCTCCAAATACGGAAAGGTTTCTTCACAGTGAGAGCTGTGAAAATGTGGAATAGACTCCCTCAAGAGTTAGTTCTGGCCAGCTCAGTGGATTGCTTTAAAAAAGTCCTGGATTCTTTCCTAGATACACAGAATATAACTGGATACTAACATTTATAGGTAAAGTTGATCCTGGTAATATCCGATTGCCTCTCGGGGGATCAGGAAGGAATTTTTTCCCTGCAGGAGCAAATTGGATAATGCTTTTCTGGGTTTTCTTTTACTTCCTCTGGATCAACTGTGGGTATAGGATTATAACTTTTTCTTTTTAATGGTTGAACTGGATGGACTTTTGTCTTTTTTCAGCCTGACTATGTAACACCACTCTGTAATTCTAACAAATATCTAGAATAAAGTGTCTGTAGAAAACTCACCCTCTGCAACCGTTCATTGATGCTGAAGGTCACATGACTAGATGGCTCTGGTGAAGAGGCGGGGCTACTGAGCACATACATTGAAAACCGAGGAAGCTGCCTGGTTAGTTCAAACACGTGGAACTGTACACTGTCAGTGAGTAAACAAAATGCTTCAATATTTCAGTCAATCAGAAAACCAACTATAAAAAGATATACATTGACCTTTACACTTCACCTTGGGTTTTTTTTTGTATATGAAATCTTTCTTTTATCATTTTTTTTTTCCTGTTTATCTCCCTTCCTCTGCTCTACCTTTACCTATAGCAATCCTTAAACCTTGTAGAATGGCCTTTTCCTTTTAACAGAGCTTTGCTGAGATTCTTGCTGCAGGTACAGATAAGCTTTAACCCCTTGCCTACCAGGCACTTTTACCCTCTTCCTGCCCAGGCCAATTTTCAGCTTTCAGCGCTGTCACACTTTGAATGACAATTGCGTGGTCATGCAACACTGTACCCAGAGAAAATTTTTAGCATTTTTTTGAGACAGATAGAGCTTTCTTTTGGTGGTATTTAATCACCTCTGGGTTTTTTATTCTTTGCTAAACAAACTAAAACAGACTTACAATTTTGAAATAAAAAGTTTTTTTTGTAGTTCCTGTTATAAAATTTTGTAAATAAGTAATTTTCTCCTTCACTGATGTGCGCTAATGAGGCTGCAGTGATGGGCATATGATAGGCTGCAATGATAGGTGGCACTGATAGGCGGGACTGATGGGCATTGACAGGCATCACTGGTGGCACCGATAGGCGGCACTAATTGGAACTGTTAGGCGGCACTGATGGTCACTGATAGGTGGCACTGACTGGCACTGATAGGCAGCTCTGATGGGCACTGATATGTGGCATTAATGTGCACTGATGGGCACTGGCATGTGGCACTGACAGGTGGCAATTATGGGCACTGACAGGTGGAAATTATGGTGCTACTGATAATCAGGGCACTGATCAGTGTACATGTCCCCTCTGAGGAATGCCACTTACCGGCTCTCCTCACTCGCTGTCAGCGTGAGGAGAGGACTGCTGATAATCGGCATTTCCTATGTACATGCGATCAGCTGTGATTGGACACAGCTGATCCCATGATAGAGCCTATGTCATCAGCTCTTTACTGCGATCGGTGATCCACTGTGTCCCAGGGACATAGTGCACCACAGATCGCCACGTTGCGGCAGTATATATGATGTACTCCCATAACAAGAGAACCGCCGCCTTCCCATCATTCCCTTACATGGCAGGCGGGAGGCGTTAAGGACCTTCAGTATTACCTTGCTGAAGTTAGAAATATAAGACAATAATAATCTTGGGTCGCTTGACCACAATGACTAAGGCTGCCTACAGACATTAGATCATGGTTGGCTGTGCATGCACAACCTAGCTGTCAAACAGCTTTCTGATATCTATGGCCAGCTTCAGAAAGTCCATGCTCCAGAATCTCTGACCTGTGCGGTCTAGTGAAACTATTCATATTAATGTTGGTTATGCAATCTTCTTACTTAAAGTGGTTGTAAACTTTGGACATGAAATGTTAGCAAAGCATATCCCTCTATAGTGTGTGTATGTCTCAATCCAGAGTGTGTCATTGCGGTCTTCTGCCTCGTTCCTCCGCTATAAGCAAATTTCCTGATACCAAGAGAAAAATGGTTACAGGGGAGGGACCTCCAGCTCTGTGCACTGTGTGAAGGGGAGGGGGGGGTGTCCCTTCCCTCCAATCAGCTATCAGAGCTCTCCTGATGCTTTACAGAGCTGAGCGATCCCCTGTAAATTCTGCACTTGGAATGGATGTAGTGGAAAGATGGCTGAAGATAGACAGGTAAAACTTACGTAGGAGGATTTGTTTCACCTATGTGCATTACCTGAGGCCAGTCACTTCACTGGATATATGTGAGGGTTTACAACCACTTTAATATTGGTTTGTATGGATATTAATCTTTCTTAGTTTCTACTAAACTTTTTTTTTTTATTTTAGAGTATATATTTCTATACAGTACCTTAATCACCTAATTTATGCTCATACCTGCTTTTGTAACCAACAAATGCCTTAATGTGCAGATCCACAGGCACATCTTTAGGAGGGCAGATAGGGACCCGAATGCGGCCGGTGAGATTCTGGACACTGGGATGCACAACATGGCTTTCACCTTCAAATATACCTTCAGCAAAGATGAGTACTGCACGGATAATCGTATCTAAAAGAAACATATCCTATTAGAATATCACATACAATAAGGGGAAGGAAACCGAAAATTAGTGGTGCTGTCTACTGCTATCAGATTTTTGCCCTTGGAAAATAAAAGCTACGATATGATCAGTTGCTCTGAGCAAACAATCTTTGAGGATTTTTGAAGTTGTGAGTTGAACACAAGCTAACAAAAGTCCGCATGACATGTCTACTAATGATGCTGTATGTGTTCAGAATGTGATTTGTACCTGAATGTACTGGATAAAGCAAGTCAATAAGCCAAAGTGCAAAGGTGCAGCAACCTATTATCATCAGTCCTCAGTAAGGGATCTCTGACTGGTAGCTATGGATTACTATAATCTGAAATACAACTTTGTTCTTGCCGCTGATTAACCGATTTAACCTAAAAATGTCAGGCTAAGCATTGATATGTTTTTGGATGGGCAAGGGCTGATGTATAAAATTACAGAGTGTATCAGAAATATGGTGTATGAGAAGCAGAACACATGAACACACACACACTAAAAAAGAAATCTTAAAAAAAATATATATATTTTCCATCTTGTACCCCCAGATTCAAAACAGGAAAGCACAAATAAGTACTGCATACCTTACTTATTAATTAATGCATTCTGTTTTATGTGGAGTCTGAAAAGGACTTATTTTTTTCCCACAAACACACAAAAGCAAACTAGGAAACAATGTTTGAAAATAATTGCTTCTTTCTGGCACCTCGACCAAACAGCCCATTTTTGTTCAAGTATCACCGTATTGTACTCCTTAACCTCCCTAGCAGTCTGATTATGTCCATATTTCTGTGCTCAAAGCGGTACATTTTTTTGCAAGGAAATATGTATTTTTTTTATTGTAGGCCTGTCATTTTTAGGAATAACTCACTGAAATCTGTCCGAACAAGAGTCTAGTAAACATCCCCGGTATGTTACAATTTGAAACACGAAATCATAAATTATAATTTAATAAATAATCATAAAAATAATAATATAATAATAAATTTAATCCAATAATATAATCACACCCAAAAACACTGAAATTTGAAATATAGCGCCAAGTTCGCACATCACTGAGCAAAGTCGCTCAGTATCTGATGACGAATTTCCCCACAAATCATAATCACTCAATTCTGCAAGTGGTTCTGATTTACTATCGCTGTTCTCTAGCTGGTCTAAAACCGCTTTTGACCTAAAGGGACGCTTTTTAGATGCCATGGACGTTTCTCAGTTTCCAGGCAGAAAGAACAGTAAAATGCAGGCAGGGCGCAGGACAAAGCACTCGGGACAAAATGTATGTGAAATGGTTTTATACAGTAATATTATACTATGTGATTTTAGTGTATTTAGTGAATGTCACTTTTTGTCATTTTCAAATTTCCCGCCGTTTCGTCCCCGTACGTCCCGACGTCGCAGAGAATGGAACCCAGACAGATGCTGGCATCTGCCGGAGGACATTGCCGGGGACACGGCAGGAGGGACATCGCAGGAGTGCAGGACAAAGTAAGTGCAGAACAGATCCCGGAGCAACGCTGCAAGGTATTCCCGAGTGTAGCTCGGGGTTACCGCTTGTGGTACTGAAACTTTACCCCGAGCTACACTCGGGAATACCGCCAGGGAGGCTACAAACAACCACACCATCTTTTTCCAGAGCAGCCTGTATTTCTTTGTCACTTTTGTGCTGTCATTTCAGCGTGGTACTGTTTATATATATATTATTTATTTGCTCACTATAGCGCCGTTTCAGGGCACTTCACCTATAAATGACTGTTGTGCCTATTCACTTACAGTCACCAGCTATTTAATTCATGTATTTATTCATTTATTTTATGACACTATAGCATTGAGTTATTGATTATCATATTTCTTTATGAGCGTTGCACTTTCCTTTATCACTTTGAAGATATAGCGGGACTATCCTTCTTGTGCGAGCTGCTGCTTTTGCACACACTATCTACTTATTTTTCTATAGCTATTGCGTGGCTGGTTGCGGTAGCCGGGTTTGGTATCAGTTTTCTATAGGTTTTGTTATGTTAATTGGCCCTGCTAGGCTGCTGACTTCTTCTTAAGTTATTTTCTGTTGTTTTACTGTTTTTCTATGTGTTGTTGTACGCATAGGTAAAATTCAACAAAAATATTATAAAAAAAAAAAACAAACAAAACATCTAGCCCGTGTTTATTATGATTAGATTGACATTTCGTAAAATAATCCTGGTCAAATACATAATCTAATCATCCCATATATCTGCTGTTAAGATCTAGATTTGTAGGCATACGTCATCTTTGTTTAAAAAATTTTAAGGATTTAATTCAGATGTAGGGAGTTGGTGTTTTATTTTTATTTTTTTAATAAAAAAAACTTGACTTTATTACAGGTGTACCTCATTACTCTACATTGCTATTCAATATTTTATTATTTATTTCTTTATTACAGGCACTTATATAGCAAATTAACCTACCAGCATGTCTTTGGAGTGTGGGAGGAAACTGGGAGTACCCAGTGCAAACCCATGCAGGCACAGGGAGAACATCCAGGCAGGTGGTACTGTGGTTGGTATTCAAACCAACGACCCTAGTACTGCCAGGCGGAATTGCTAACCATTTAGCCACTGTGCTGCCCACAATGATTATTAGGCCCATTTGACCCCATGGGACCAGGTACCATTCCTCACCATTAGATGTTGATATGTTCAGCTCCACATGGGCAGCCTGAGTCTCTGATCCCAGAGTGACAGACAGGGCAGTCTGCAGCTGTGTGTTTGCTGGAATCACTCCCATTTGGCCATCAGGCTCACTTGATTGTGCCCTTGAATCTGCCTGTTACAAGGAAAACAAAATTGAATACTATATGGTTGGTATATGCAACGATGTAAAAAAGAGGCATGGTATCTGTATATACATAAAAAAGAGCTTCTCAAAGCAATATTACACATCTAAAATATAACCATATTACTATTTTATAAAAAAAAAAAACCCAGTGACCCTTATTTACTAACGGAGTTAGGCATACTCACTGTCAAAGTTAATTTCCATCTATCTTGAATATGGTGACAAAATCCAAAATTAGCAATCATGTGCAAGGAAAGTTTAAAAAAACAGGATTTTTGCTTTTCACATGAATGGACACTTAAAGACATCATCACTTCACCTCATTCACTAAGCTAAGAGAAATTTCCTTTACAAAGATAAAATGTAGTTAGTTTAGTGAATGAGGTTATATTGTGCTGACTACAATCATCCAATAAGTTGTGAGCGCAAATCTTGTTTTTTTTTAACTTTCCTTACACCTGATTGGGTATATTTTGCAAAGTAAACTTTCACTTTGTTTCACATCAACTCTTTTAGGGCCTGTTCACACTAGAACGCAGTGCAGCAGACTTGCGATCCCATGGGGATTCCTGCACTGCATTCCATTCACGCTGTCCTTGCATTCGGCAGCAGATGTCAGTGCAAAGTTAATGAAATCCCAAACGCAGGTCAGAGTGCATTTGCCCGAACCTGGATTGCATGGTACAAAAGTAACATGCAATCTAGTTGCTGTGCGTTTCAAAAAAGTACTACTTTTGTTGCCGTGCGGTGTGATTTCAGCCCATTCAAAATGAAGGGGGCTGAAACTGCACTACACAGAACTGCATGTGAATCGCACAGGAACCGCAAAGCATTCCTATGCGATTCACATGCTGTTCCTAGTGTGACTGGGCCCTTAATCTCCCTACATGTACACCTAAAACTAGTTTAATTGGGCCACTTGTGAGAAGCTTTTAGGGTTCATGTACACTGCAGGTGATAAACTGACAATCAGGAGCTGTTCAGCATTTTTTTCAGCAGCCCCTGAACTCTCCCTAATGTTTTCCTATGTGTCCATGTACACATCGTCGTTTACAGTCATTTACAGGCAGTTGAGTTTACAGTCGTTTTTTATTGAAAGCACCAAACTTGCGTTCAGAAGTAGACTTTACCAGCGTTTCAAACACTTGTAAACGCAGTTAACCGCATTTATAATCGTTTGCATTTAGAAGCGTTTAACTGTTCCATGTCAAGATGCTGTCCAGAGCCTTTTTTCATCATCAGAAAGCATTTTCCATGTATTCAAATGGACCCGGTACACCAGCGCAGACAGTTCCAGGTTTTGCGTGAAGGAAAAAATGGTAGAACGTGCCGCATTATGCTCATGATGGGATCCATAGTGAATACAACCAGAAAAGACAGGTCATCTCAACACATACTGCTCTCTCTGCTTCTGCTCTCTCTATTTCTATCAAAATGTCTGAAATAATAAATTTTTTACTGTTTTTCAGTGCATTCTGGGCATTTTGGAAGGTCTCCTGAAGTTATCTTTTAAAAACGCTTCTAAATGCAAACGGTCAAATGCGGTATGCAAACGCAGCTAAACTGACATTTTTTTAGCCTACGTTTTCCAGCAGTCAGTTTCCATCATTCAGAAGAGTTTTCCAAACGCCCCGTGTACATGAGCCCTTAGGCTACATGCACACTAGCTCCTAGAAGCTGTTATTAGCATTTGTTTTTCTGCTCCTAGAAACTTAATAGTGTCATCCTATGTATCCATGCACACTACTTTAGGCTATTAGCGCTTTTTGAGCTTCAGCGTCTAGGAGCAGAAAAAGAAAAAGAATAATTTTTGTACAGTTTTTTTGGAGCGTTTTTCCAGCATAGTAAATTGCCAAACCCTCCAAAATGCTGCTAAACACTACTAAAACAGCTTTTGTCTAGCTTTTTTTTCCCTATATGCACTGTAAAAACACTAATAAAACACTAATGCTCCCAAACGCTTCTAAAAACACTACTAAAAATGCTATTATCCAGCGTTTTTTGAGCTTTAAAAAAAACGCTAGTGTGCATGGCGCCTTGGGTGCCATGCACAATAGCATTTTTCTAAGCTCCTAGAAGCTATTACCATCATATTTTTTTCTGCTTTTTTTTGAGCATTTTTTGAGCTTCAGCGTCTAGGAGCAGAAAAAAATGGTTTACCTTTGTAGAGTTTTTTGTAGCATTTTTTCCAGCAAAAAAAAAAAAAAAAAAAAAAACTAAATGCTCCTAAAACGCTACTAAAACGCTCCTAACAGCCTTTTTCTAGATTTTTATTTTTCCTCTACATGTACTGTAAAAACGCTAATAAAACAATGCTTCTAAACGCTACAAAAAATCCTATTACCAGAGTTTTTTATCTAGCATTTTTTGAGCTTAAAAAAATGCCAAACAAAATACCATATGAACCGTGCATAAACTAAGTGCAATAAAATGAGCAATAAATAAATAATAATATTGCTTCACGTTAAATAAATAATAACAACATTCAGTCGCAATTCATGAGAATAAAGCCCAGGTGTTAAATGCTTAGTTGTGTACTTTGTACAAAATGACAGGTGCTCCACTGCGCTCAAACGGTGCCCCACATGGATGTATGCTCACCATCATCTGTGGACCACCTATCTCTAGAATGGTCTTATGCACTTTATTTGGCACTAACCCAATACGTGGCAATACGAATGGTACCAATAATCCCTCCCGAGGATTATGCGATGTGGCTAATGGTAACCGATAAGATTTTGAACAGCGTTGCTATTAGTTATTATTAAAAAAAATGCTAGTACATGGAGCTTTGAAGCCCAAATCCCACCAGAATATGTTTTGAATAGAGTGAAGGATGTTTAGAAGCTCTATCTGTTTATCCCTACCTGTGTCCCCATCTGTTGACAGATGTCAATCATACAGCAAAGGGAGTGAGGCAGGAATCTTACTAACAGGGGCACATATTGCAAATAAAACATGTTTTAACACAGTGGGGAAGGGTTAATACCACTATCAAGTTACTAACATTGTCTGTGACCCCAGTGGGTAGATTTTCCCTCACTTCCTGTTAGGTGTATGAATGTAAACAGTGGAGGAATCACTTTATTGGGGACACAAATAGCATTTAAACTCTTAAAGGGCTTCCAGTTCTTCCATTTTCTGTTCAAAAGTAGGGGAAAAAAAAAAGTTTTCCTACAATTGAATTTTAGGGATATACAGTAAAAATGGCTTTGCACACCTTTGAATTTTCTTGGTAATTCTTCAGTTCTAATAGCAGGTTCTGCTTCTTCTGACTGAGTTCTCTGACAAGCTCCTGTTCTGCACTCGTATCCATAAGACTCCCGGCGGTTTCTTGGCTAGAGGGAAGATAGCCCCTGACTGTGATGGAATAAAGTGAACAGTTACAGCCGCACCAGACTGGCTCCTCTCTCTGCCTGCTGGCGTCCTACTCTGTAAAAGTACCGAGCTCTTCTTTTTAAGTTGCTCACATTTAACAAGTACAGAAAAAAACATGTTACTAATGATGACACCTTGCACTTTACACTAATCATTTTTGACGAATGGGATATATAAAACCCAGCAATATGTTGGCATCTTTGAACTATTCTAGATCTGTCCATGTCTACATACCGGTTTGCCCCTCTGGATTAAAGAGAAAATAATGTCTGATAATGTCATTTATAAAAGTGCTACAAACATGCTATCGAAGTTCTGTACACACATTTACGAAATATTTTTTTAATTGCATATTTGAATATGAAGAGAAGAAAAAAACTACATATTTGAATAGGTGCACATCTTTGCAATGGGTGAGAAAATCTGACACAAGTCAAATTAACCACAAAAACAGTGTGAATGGACGGCCCGTCCGCTTTTACTGAGATCAAAGAATCCTGTGACTAAATCATGTGTCAGCGTACAAGTCTTGACAAAGCGCAACTCCATACATCTACATTACTTAGGACTCCTACTCCAAAACCCCATACGCTGGTACGCTACCGTATTTTCTGCACAGGCTGGTTAATTTTTTTACTTGCTACTTTATCCCCCAAAAAAAGCATTTTAGCGGGAAAATGACAGTGCATGTTTCTTATGGAGCGAATATGAAGCGGCCGGCCCAGTATGTCTTCCTCCATACATCTACATTACTTAGGACTCCATACTTCCCGCACCACTGTCATGTATTTAGAATACCGGGCCAGCGCTCGGCTCTTCTGTGCAGCAGAACCTGCTCCTCGGTCCTACCTGTTCCTCGGTCCAGCAGTGTCCTTACCGTCTTCTCTCCCTGGCGCCGGCATCTTTAGTTTGGGCCCCGGCTGTGACAGCTTGCGGCTTTACAGCCGGGTGCCCACTGCACATGTGCGGGAAGCGTTGCGCTTTGTGAATGGTCCGACAGTCTTCTGGGAACTGTCACGTGTCCCAGAAGACGGGGAGAAAGGACAACTACGGGGAGGTGGGAGTGCGTACCTGCTCCTCCCCCTTTCCACTCCCAAAAGGTCTGCAGTCTCTGGTCATCTCCTGTACTATGTCCACAGTCTCTGGTCATCTCCTGTAGTATGTCCGCAGTCTGGTCATCTCCTGTACTATGTCCGCAGTCTCTGGTCATCTCTTGTACTATGTCCGCAGTCTCTGGTCACTCCTGTACTATGTCTGCAGTCTCTGCTCATCTCCTGTACTGTGTCCGCAGTCTCTGGTCATCCCCTGTACTGTGTTCGCAGTCTCTGGTCATTTCCTGTACTGTGTCCGCAGTCTCTGGTCATCTCCTGTACTGTGTTCGCAGTCTCTGGTCATTTCCTGTACTGTGTCCGCAGTCTCTGGTCATCTCCTGTACTGTGTCCGCAGTCTCTAGTCATCTCCTGTACTGTGTCCGCAGTCTCTGGTCATCTCCTGTACTGTGTCCGCAGTCTCTGGTCATCTCCTGTACTGTGTCCGCAGTCTCTGGTCATCTCCTGTACTGTGTCCGCAGTCTCTGGTCATCTCCTGTACAATGTCTGCAGTCTCTGGTCACTCCTGTACTATGCCCGCAGTCTCTGGTCACTCCTGTTACCTCACTGTTACAAGGTCAAGGCAGCAGACATTGAGCTCACATCTTGCAGGAATGTTGGAATTTATCAACCAATATTAATTTCATCTCTACTGATACAGATAAAAGGAACTGAGCAGTCCTTGCCTTACCTTCCCCATCTATAGAGCAACAAATAAGCTGCGTCTTCCCATCCATGCGGTAATCACCTTCCACCACTCCCGCTATAGATGAGGAAAAGTTATCTTTAAAGATCACCTCACCTGTGCGATCACTGCGAGCATCAACCTGTGAAACAAGCCCAAATAGCAATGATAAAATATTAGACAGTACGGTTTGTTTCATTCCGAATCAAAATTTGGATTCATTTTTCGTTATTTGGATGTATCCGAATTTCCGAATTACATAGTAAAGAATTTAAACGTCCGAAATAACAAAACAAAACTTAATTCAAAACTTTAATTGAATTTGAAAACAAAATCGAATTAGAATACAAGAATAGGATAAAATAGAATAGAAAATAAAGGAACAGAATAGAATATAAAATAATAGAACAGAAAAGAGTAGAATAGAAAATAATAGAATAGAAAAGAATACAGTAAAACAGAACAGAATAGAATATGAAATAAAATAACAGAATAAATAGGATTAGAATAGAAAATAAAAGAATATAATCAAAAAAATAGAATAGAATTGGGCAGCACAGTGACCCTCAACAAAGCTGTGATTCCCTTATAGTGGGAACCCAAACCAATCTCCTGGCCTATGATGTCCACAACAACTCTGACCTGTTCTACAAAGAGGTGACTGATAATAATTCTTCTAAATGAGAGGCTGTGTAGGTGGAGGACATTGAGGTTTACTTACTAAAGGCAAATAGATTGTGCAGTTTCTCCAGAGCAGTAAATGAGGCGAGGCCTCACTTTACAAAGAGTACCCAATCACATGGGCAGCACAGTGGCTAAATGGTTAGCACTTCTGCCTGGCAGTACTAGGGTCGTTGGTGCGAATCCAAAAACACAGCACCACCTGCCTGGAGTTTGCATGTTCTCCCTGTGCCTGTGTGGGTTTCCGCAGGGTACTCCGGTTTCCTCCCACACCCCAAAGACATACTGGTAGGTGAATTGGATCCTGTCTAAATTGTCCCTAGTATGTGTATGTATGAATGTGAGTTAGGGACCTTAGATTGTACGTCCCTTGAGGGTTAGGGACTGATGTGAATGCACAATATATATGTAAAAGCACTGCGTAAATTGATGGCACTATACAAGTACCTAAAATAAATAAATAGAAGAGAAATAGACTAGAATAGAAAGTAATAGAAAAGAATACAGTAAAACAGAACAGAATAGAATATGAAATAAAATAACAGAATAAATAGGATTAGAATAGAAAATAAAAGAAAATAATCAAAAAAATAGAACAGAAGAGAAAAAGAATAGAATATAGCCACCTTCCTTAATTTAAATTTTGAAAAAAATAAAACAGAATAGAAAAGAATAAAGTAAAACAGAACAGAATAGAAAATAAAAGAATAGAACAGAAAAAATATAACTGTCTTCTGAAATTCGAATCTCGAATAGAATAAATTTGAATAAAATAGATTAAAATAGAATAGAAAATAAAAGAATAGAAAAACAATAGAAAGAGTATAACAGTCTTCTGAAATTCAAACACAATAAATTACAATTCGATACTTTTCGATTTGGTCGAATTTAATTTAATTTGACCGAATTCGGAAAACTTGAATCAAATTAAAAAACGAATAAACAAAACTAAACGAAATCCAAAAACAAATTAAATGAATTTAACAAACTTAACTAAACATAATTATTTAAAAATGAATCAAAACGAAACACATTTTTGCGTTCTGCAAATGTCTATAATATTTTTTAAATATGCATAAGCATGTCATGCACAGCTTTTATTATTAGCAGACATGTGAGCATGGCGGGTACCTGCAACCACTGGATGCACACTTCTTGGCCCATGGGTGGCTGCAATTAAAGTGGGCCAGAATTCAAAAAGTGATGATTTACTATATGTTAGAGGGAACATTTAGAAATGTTACTGTGCCTTGCACCCTGGAAGTAGTACTGTTTGTCTTGAATTCCTCCTGAAAAACATCAGTGCACTTCCTGATATGTGAGGGTGCCTAGGCACTCCCGTTGCTATAGCCTCATAGCTGTATGTATCCTGTGTGAGATCTAAGGCACTGCTGCCTCTGACTGCTAATTTCAAGAAATGTGGCGTAAGATTTGGCGATGTCACTACTACGCTGCTCACTGTGTTCTTTGCTTAAGGCCCTGACATGAGGAAGCAAAACTCTGCCTATACAGATATACAGTGTAGACATACATTGTATGTCAGTACAGGAAGTCACCGGGTTATGAACAAGATCGGTTCTGCAGGTTTGTTCTTAAGTTGAATTTGTATGTAAGTTGAAACAGGTACATTTTTGAAGTGTAACTGCAGGCAAAAAATAATTTTTACATTTTGGATAGCATAGGGAAGGGTTAACTGGCCATGTAGTGATGTGGGATTGCTGACAGGTCCGCTGGACAGTAGGTTGCAGCATGTGGCGAGCAGCAAGATGGCCGCCTGGGAAGTTTCCAAGACCAGCGTAACGTCATGCTGCCTCCATTCTTAAGTACGAGTTATATGTAAGCAAAAAAAAACAAAACAGGGCGCACTCTCCTCGTGCATTACCGTGATAATATGAAATTTATTATAAAAATACAAATGTGTACTCATAATCCAAAAGAGTCATAAAAACATAGACAAGGAGTCAAAGGAAGCCAGTCGTGGACAACATAGGTCCTCGGGGGGAACTATGTTGTCCACGACTTGCATCCTTTGATTCCTCTCTGTTTTTATGACTCTTTTGAATTGTGAATACGCATTTGTATTTTTATAATAAATTTCCTACATATCACGGTAATGCACGAGGAGAGTGCGCCCTGTTTTGTTCTTTTCTGCTAGTATCAAGATTCCCCGATCTACCAAGGGTGGCACCTCAGCAAGTGCTAGATTCCATATTTTGAGTGCAGTAAAGAAGATCTGAGCGCTGGTTTCTGGTTACTGTTGGATGAGTTGTATGTAAGTTGGATATTTGTAACTTGGAGGCTGCCTGTAATGGTGGAAATATCAGGTGCAGTGAGGTCACAGGAATACTGGTGATCAGTCCCTCTCTGTCTTTTTCGGGGCACAGCTTTTAGAGTTTAGTTCCTCTTTAACCACTTGCCCTCCTGAGGATTTACCCCCCTTAATGACCAGGCCTCTTTTTGCTACTCGACGCTGCACTAATTCAACTGATAATTGCGCGGTCATGCAATGCTGCACCCAAACGAAATTTACGTCCTTTTTTACACACAAATAGACCTTTCTTTTGGTGGTATTTGATCACCTGTGCGCTTTTTATTTTTCACGCTATAAACAAAAAAAGACCAAAAATTTTGAGGAAAAACAATATTTTTTAATTTCAGCTATAAAAAATATATAGTAAACAAAATTAGTTATAAATTTAGGCCAAAATGTATTCTGCAACATGTTTTTGGTAAAAAAAAATCCCAATAAGTGTATATTGATTGCTTTGTGTGAAAGTTATAGCGTCTACAAACTATGGTATAGATACTGCAATTTACGCACTTTTTTTGCTATACAGCGCTGCGCTAGTTTAACGGACAATTGCGTGGTCATGCAATACGGTACATAAATGAAATTTATGTCCTTTTTTTCACACAAATATAGCTTTCTTTCGGTGGTATTTGATCGCCTGTGCGTTTTTTATTTTTTGCACTATAAAAAAAAAAAAAGGCTGACAATTTTGAGAAAAAAAAACATAAATTTCAGCCAAAATGTATTCTGCGACATGTCTTTGCTAAAAAAAAAAACCCAATACGTGTAAATTAATTGGTTTACGTGAAAGTTATAGCATTTACAAATGGCAGTAAAGATACTGGGATTTTTAATTTTTTTTATACTAATAATGGCGGCAATCAGCGACTTATGGCGGCGATCAGTGACTTATGGCGGGACTGCGGCGGACATTCTGACACTGGGGGGGAACTGACTTAGGGTCACTGACATCCCCAGTGACACCAATACATTGATCAGTGCAAAAAAAAAACACTGACACTGTACTAATGGCACTGGGGAGGAAGGGGTTAACTTTTTTATTTACTGAAAGGGTCAACTGTGTGAGAGGAGTGTTTTACTAGGGGGCGGGGGTGTGTACTGCACAGGGGACAGCTGATCGGGAGAGAGAAACTCTTCTCTCCAGCTCAGCATGTCAGGAGCTGACAGGAAGCTGACAGAAAGCAGAGCTACTGCAGCCCTGCTCTCTGTTAGTGATTGCCGCTAATCAGCGGGACACAGCCGGTAACGACCGGCTGTGACCCGGCGACTGACATCCGCAGCCGTGATCGGCAGGACAGGTAGGGCGGTGGCGCGCTTAGCACGCGCCCCCGCCTGTTTTGCAAACACACATTTTAAAACGTGGTTTTGCCCAGCCGTGCCGCCCTGCCAACGTATTTCTACAGTGGCTGGGCGGCATGTGGTTAAAGCGATTGTAAAGGTAAATTTTATTTTTCAAAAATATAACAAACACGTCTATACTTACCTGCACTGAGCGACTGCGAACCTCCTCTTCTCGGGTCCTCCACCAGCGCTCCTGGCCCCTCCCTTCTTCCGCTTCCCATGGCCTCACTCGTGAGCTCGTTCCCGACACAATGCTTACATTGACACAGACAGCGGGAATCGGACTCGTCCCCTGCTCCCTCATCACTGGCTTTGATTGACAATGCTGGGAGCCAATGGTTCCTGGTGCCCCAGCAAAGCCCGTGAGACATGGAGGTAAGGGGAAAGAAGAGTTGCAGAAGTGCACGAATGATCGCTGGGGGGGTGAGTGAAGAGAATGCTGATGCCTAAACATTTTTTACCTTGCTGCAAGGAATGCAAAAACCCCTTTGCGCCGAGCAAACGCAAATTAGCGGCCCCACTGGACTGGGCTTTTTTCCGTGGGGCCGCTAATTTGCTAATTCCCAGCACAAAGACCAAGGTGTCAGTGAGAGCCCCAGGTCACGTTCTAACGATGGGACCCGTAACTCCCAATTATGGGGTCACATGATCGCTGTGAAAACCTCTGATTGGATATCACAGTGATCAGCCTTGTTTTCTCTCTCTGAATAGAGGAGAGAGATACATTGTATCTCTGTCCTTTCAGACAGAAAAAATAGGGTTTGTAAAAAAATAAATAAAAATATTAAATAAATAAAAATACCTAGATCAAGGTTTGATCTAGGTCAGTGCCAGGGTTAGTGTTTGGGTCAAGGGTCAGGATCAGTATTTTTTTGGTAGGATTTTTTTTCTTTTTTTTCAAATTAGTATCAGTGTCAGTTAGTGGTAGGATAAAAAAAAAAAGCAAAATGTGCACTATTTGATCCATACTACGGGTACAAACAACAGCAAAACATACACATGTGCTTTTGCTGCAATCATCAGGAGCAGGATAAATTATTTTGGGTTGTTCTGTGGAGGTTGGTTATGGTAGTAGCAAGGAATATACAAGATCATGAAGCTTGTCAATGACTGGCTGCCCCTATCCCACGGTGCATCAGAACTCCTTCCAGGACTATTTATATAAGGACTTTTATTATTTATTATTCATTATGTTCGCACATATGTATGTAATTACATGCATATTTTCCTTTTAAGTATATTCTTATTCTCAATTTTTGCCGCATACCACCTACCACCTTAACCCCCATCTTGGAGTGCTTCAAATACCCAATTTTCCATTTTTCCTGCAAGAAATATAAAACTAATTAAATAAAAATGTTTTTTTGTTTTTTTTTTTTAATCTTTTGGGTCAGTTTTCCTTTGATAATGTAAAAAATCAGGAGATATCCATTACCATTTACCACCAAATGAAAGCCCAATTTGTCATGAAAAAAACAAGGTATAATTCACCTGGATGCACAAAGTAGTTGTGATGATACGTACAGTTTTACTAACACATATCAAAGTTGCCAGAACCGGCGGGAAATTTAAAAATGTTAAAAAAATGACATTCACTAAATATACTAAAATCTAATAGTATAATATTACTGTATCAAACCATTTCACATACATTTTGTCCCGAGTGCTTTGTCCTGCGCCCTGCCTGCATTTTTACTGTTCTTTCTGTCTTGAAACTGAGAAAAGTCCATGGCGTCCAAAAAGCGTCCCTTTAGGTCAAAAGCGGTTTTAGACCGGCTAGAGATCAACGATAGTAAATCAGAACCACTTGCAGAATTGAGTGATAATTCGTTTGGAAATTCATCATCAGACACAGAAAACGATTTTGCGACTTTGCTCAGTGATGTGCGAACGTGGCGCTCTATTTAAAATGTCAGTGTTTTTGGTTTGATTATATTATTGAATTCAATTTATTATTATTATATTCTTATTTTTTATGATTATTTATTATATTATAATTTATGATTTTGTGTTTCAAATTTTTCATACCGGGATGTTTACTAGACTCTTGTTCGGACGAATTTCAGTGAATTATTCCTAAAAATTACAGGCCTACAATAAAAAACAACAATTTCCATGCAAACAAATGTACCGCTTTGAACACAAAAATATTGACATAATCAGACCGCTAGGGAGGTTAATGGTGCTGTTGGCACAAGGCCACCTACTATATTAAAGAGTTAATTGAGGCCAATAGATGGGCGGTCAAAGCTTTGTATACCCACATATAGCCATCAACCAGCAGTACATCACAAGTTAAGCAGCAACATTGATGCAATACTCACCTTCCCATTGGACCATCCTGTAATCAGCTCACAGACACCATCAGAATTTAGGTCAAAGGCATGTATACTCATTGCAAGGTTTTTAGACTGTGAAGAAATGAACGTTACAAACACAAGTTTATATCTAAAGTAAACCAATTATAAACTTGGGCAATTCAAACAATTCAAAATAAACATATGTTGAAAACTATGAGATACAGTTTGTAGTTATATGAAAATCTTGATATTTTATTTAAAACTTCAGTTTGGCCTGGGCCCACATGTATCCTGAGCCTCCCTACTGGTCAGTAAGGTTGTGATATCAGCTTCAAGAATATTTGGATCTGGGACTTAAGCGCCATACCAAAATGTTCCCATCTTAAATTAAGTTTATTCCAAATATAAATTTAGTACAAAAGCCAACATGTTTCTGGGGCCAAATATTGACCTCAGATCTTTAGTTTACTTTATTGTCTGCCTTTTAGACCATACACTAGTCCCACCCTGACCTTCTCTTTGGGCTCTATATCCTTTCATGAAATCTCTAAAGAAGGCAAAGGCCACTTACTGTAACTCTGATTCACTTCCTTCTAGACTCCATTTCTTTCCCAGACTATAAGCAACACTTCGACATACTGGGAGGTTGAGGCTATAAGATCCTTCAAAAATGTGTCTCTCATTTGTTTGAATGCTTCCAAAATATCTATATTCACCAGACAGATTAGCCCCTATGTACAGAGAATATTTTCTATTGTGCTAGAGGAACCACAAGATCCTTTTGCCACATGTGAGCCACATGATCCTTTTTTCACACTGGTTCCACTGAAGGTTAACATATTCATGAAAAATCAAAAGCCCACAACTTATTTGGCCATGCATGTGGGTCACAGAAGTGCACTTAGTTCTGCTATCCTGTGACCCAGAATCAGCTGACAGTGGTCTAAAGCCCACTTTCCACTGGCATCACAGTGCCGCTCAATACTCTGGAGGAATCCTGACAATAATGTGGGGATCCACCCAGATGCCTTGCAGGCAGCTGGCTCAGCCTCTCAGAGCGCCACTGAGAGCCAGAGCCAGCTGTTTCCACCTCCTCCACAGCCGGTACTCCAGTGAATAATGGAGGGGCAATGCACAGAGTGGCGGCTAACAGTTACCATTCTGTGCTCAGAACAGACCCGGAACTGAGCAATCAGCTGTTAGGTAGGTAGGTGTGTTTGTTTTTTTCAACACCCACATTTCTGCTATATCAGAAACTAATTGGAACTACCCATATGGAAGAAAAATATATTTGAAATATATTTTAAAAATATTCTTCCTAAATATATTGCCTTATATTTGAAATGCTACAATTTTGGCCATATTCAATATATATATATATACACACACATACATACATGCACACACATATATACTGCATGTTATGCGTTTTGATTACAAAATATATGAAAAATATTTTTAAAAATACATTTCAAATATACTGTATGTCTTTAAAAATACAAATCTACATTTTTGGAATGCATTTACAAATATATGTAAAAATAGATATTACAATTACTTTTTTATATGTTAAAAACAATCTGAAGAATATATTTAAAAAATATATATATTTAAAAATGTGGGTAGATGCACCCAGAACCATTTATTTATTAGCAAAACCTCAGTAATGCAGAGTTCATAAATGCCTAACCACCTGCTGATGTCAGTCTGCTGTCCTACTATGGCCAATTAGAAATCTCTTAAAGCTCCAACCATTTCCAGGGCCAAATGCAAGTTGGAATTTGTGTACATAATAGAGAAACTCGCAGCAAGTTTACATAACCAACTGGACTCTTTTGCAAAAAATTTGGGACTGGCTACAACTGTCTAGATTCATGCAATCTGTTTTTCTGTTTGTTTGGAAACTGTAATTACCTAGTGGACTGAGCTTATTATACAAGGCAAGCCATGCATAAAGCAATTTTCTTACCTGTAATCACGGGTTCCAGGAAATAATATTGCTCCATTCTCGCCATCAACACAATGTTTGGTGAATCCCTCTTGCAGCGCTACTGTGTTCTTTCATTAGGATGCCTTCCATGCTAGCAGAACACAATGATCACTGCTGGCAGCTAAAGCCGTCAGCAGTGATCCCATGAAAAATATCCAACAGACTGGTTATACTGAAGTTGATCGATGGATCAGTAAAACCAGCCTGCCTACAGATGGCTGAATTTTGGCAGGTCCCTGCTGAACTGGACAAGATTCAATTGATCTATGGCCGGCTTACCTGATTACTACAACTAAACCCTGGGTACACCTGTTTTTATCGCCTCCATCTCTGTCTGTTGTCATGTTGAGCCCTAGTCTCTGCTATTTCTATCCCATAACATTTTTAGCAATCTGAGCATGCAGGGACATTGGCAAGAGGAGAGAATAAAAATAATTTATTTATTTAAAACTAGTGTAGATTTTAGCTGTACCTGAATAAAATGAATTAAATCTAGTGCCTGGCAAATTATAGGAGAAGTACAGCTAAGTTTGTTTGGCTGTACTTCTCCTGAGGATCACAGGAGAGCAGTTCGTTCTGCACTCCTGTGACCAGTTTTCAGCTAACAGTAGGCTTTAGCTTTCTCACAAAGCTGGCCCACGCTGGGGAAAGATCACAACCATATGGTCAGGATCCACCCAGGAGCCTGGACCGGCATGTGGCTCAGCCTTTCAGTGAGCCACTGAGAGCCTGAGCCGCTCCCGCCCCCTCCACAGATTAGTACTCCAGTGAGTGCTGGCAGCGGTAGAGCAGAGAGCCAGAGACTTACAGTGCCGGCTGTCTGCTCAGAGCAGTGGGGAGAAAAAAGCAATCAGCAGTGTTTGACTGCTCAGTTCTCAGCCTTAGAGCCGGCAGAGGACAGATGCAGAATTGAATTGATACTGCATCCACCTAGGTATGTATGATTTTAAAAAAAAAAAAAAATCCAATACTTCACTTTTAACACACCCACCTTTATCCTCCAATATCGCGACATGCGGTCATACACTCCCACGGTACCATTGGAAAGAGCATACCCAAATCGGCTGGCGTACATGGGGCACATTGCTGTGATTGTCTGAAAGAAGAAGATATTAATATCTTTCATTAAAAAGTAACCTGTCACAAGTCAAACAAATGCCCAGGCCACACACCGCTAAGGTTTTTCTGCCAATGTCAATAAACTATAATGAAACCACTGCATGGCCATCCTCAGCTCTGAGGAAAGGGGTACAGCTCCCGAAACGCGTTAAAATATCCGCATCACTAGACTAGTTTTTGTGGACCACCTTACTGCTTTTTATCACGTTGGTTTGTGAGTATATAATCCTTTTTAATAATAAATACGTGAATTACCATGGTAATGCACGATGAGAGTGCGCCCTTGTTTGTTTTTTTTCCCACTAATGGCCATCCTTGTATCATTGTTCCTGCCCTCACAGAGGATACCTTGAATACCTATGATACAATGATGGTAAAGTTACAGCACCCACAGGTAAACCACTGTCAAAAAATCTCCCTAAAACACAACTTCTAATAATTATGTATATTCATACAAAAAGACATACATTACGTTAAAATCAAATTAACATGGAAGGTTGAATATCTTTAAATCAACTTCTTTCTATAAATATATGCCTTGAGATTAAAGGTAGGATTATTCCAAAATGAGCATAGAGAAAAAAAAAATCACTAGATATGTTGTTTATGTTCCAACTTACACAGAGATCATTTTTATTTTATTAAAACAAAGAGAACATTCAGAGCATAGAAACATTTTGTTCACGTCCATGATTTTGAATTGAGCTCTTTAAATATACAAAATAGGCTACTTTCTGACTGATGCATGGCAAAAACACGTATTTTTACTGCGTTTTGCGGTGCGTTTTTACATGACATGTGACTCAAAGACTGCCCCAAAAATGCAGCATTTTCCATTGATTTCAATGGGGAGGTGTGTATTATTATTATTATTATACAGGATTTATATAGCGCCAACAGTTTGCTCAGCGCTTTACAATATAACGGGAGACAATACAGCAACAATACAGTTCAATACAAGAGGGATGGGAGGGCCCTGCTCCTTGGAGTGTATTTGGTGCAAAAAAAATGCAGCAAGCAGGACTTTGAAAAACGCACCTGACTCACAACAGATCAGTGTGAAGAGTTCCGTAGGAATATATGATCACACATTTTGCTTGTGTTTTTTTTTCTTTTACGCAAAAGCAGAAGAAAAAGGGAGCAGTGTGACAGCAGGCTTTTTAGAGAATATTAATAATTGCATTAGGGGTGGGGACAGGATATTCATCCTGAGCAGGAGTTGAGTTTTTTTTGGGTTTCTGTGTGAAACACTTGTATGTTTTTTTACCTCTGAGTATATATTTGTCTTCAAATATATATTTTTTAAAACATATTGATTTAAAGATATCCAACGTTCCATATTAATTTGATTATAACATAATATTATTATACAAGATGTATTTAGCGCCAATAGTTTGCACACAGCGCTTTACAAAATAAAACGGAGACAAAGCAGTTGGAGAGCCCTACTCGTGGAAGCTTACAGTCTAAAAGGGAGGGGTGATTGATACTAAAAAGGTGAGGGATGAGCTGATGGAGAAGGTGGATAGAGTAGGAATTAGCTGGCCTTAGAATCACCTTAAAGTGATTCTAAAGGTTGTATTTATTTTTTTAAAATAACAAACATGTTATATTTACCTTCTCTGTGCAATGGCTTTGTACAGAGCACCTCTGATCTTTTTTTTGGGTCCTTCGCCAGCAGTCCAGGCTCCTCCCTCTGCTGAGTGCCTCCAATAGCAAGCCTCTTGCTATGGTGGCACTTGAGTAGGCTCACTCCCGTGTCACGCTTCGGTGAATGAACATTGTCCATGCACACAGAGCGCAACTCAGCCCTGCCCTCTGCTCTCTCCACATTGGCTCACTGGATGTGACTGACAGCAGCAGCAGTCAATGGCTCCCTCTGCTGTGTGCACCAATGAGGAGAAAGAGATCTGGGAGAGCCACAGCTCTCATTCACATCGCTGGATCGAGATCGTGCTCCAGTAAGTATAAGGGGGGCTGAGGGGGGAGCTGCACCCAGGTTTTTTATCTTACTGCATAGAATGTAGTAAGGTAAAAAACCTTCTGCCTTTAGAACACTTTAAGAGGATATCAAGAAAAAGCAGGTAATTTTTCCTGCAAAGCCTTTAACATGTTCTGACATCTGTTCAATTAGTTATTATTTTAATTTCTTGTGTGTATACTCTGTTCCGCAGACACAGAGACTGCAAAAGTTGGAGAAATGTTCTAATCTTAAAAGTATTAACACTGTCTCCACACTATGTTTTCATCATACTAATTAACATACATGAACATGTTTCTTGGTAACACTTTCATCTTTGCCTCTCTCAGCAGCCAAGCATGATATGACTTGCATACAGACATTACAGCTGCATATAGAAGTCACAGCTAATGAATCTTACCTCTGTCTCTGTCATCTCAGCAACAATCTCATCTTCTTTAAAGACTCTTATATCAAAGTCTTCAGATCCAACAAGAAGCTGAAATTTGTAATTTCAAAATATTAGTATGAGTACTTGCATGCAAGTAGAATGTAGATTTGGAAACTAGAACTAGGAGTTTGTAAAAATACTAATGTAAATAATAATGTGCTACAAGAATTATGCAAATCTCCCAATATGGGATGGAAAACAAAAGCACAGGGAACATTGTGTACTCTCTGAAATCAGTATTCACAAAGACATTTAACACAAACAGATATATCTGACAAAGTAAAGTGAAATTATAGGTTAGGCACAACCAATAAGAATTCATCTTTCATCACCTAAAAGCCATCAAAATAATAAAAAGATGAAGATTCAGTGATGGGAAAAGCATGGTGCACGTGCGACCTACGACGGAGAGCACAGTGGGGAAATTGATGTAGTTTTCCAGCTGACTTTCTTCCCACCATTTTTAACCATTTGCCGCCCACCTTATGGCCGAATGGCGGGCAGCAAATGTCATCAGCGTTCCGGGTGGACGCCATATGGCGTCCTTGCCGCACGTGCGCAGATTGCGCTCCTGCAGAGCGGCGCAGCGGCACGATCGGTCACCGGCCGTGTACCTCAGACACAGCCGATGACAGATCTGAGTATCGGCCCCGTTGCCGGTACCATGTGACCTGCTGTGACCAATCACAGCAGGTCACATGACAGTTGTATACAATGGATGGCTTCATTCATGCCATCCATTGTATACTAGTGTCTAGCTGTGAATGGTCACAGCTAATCACATGCACATGCCATGTGATTATCTGTGGCCAAATCACAGCTAAGCACAAAAAAAACAAAAAAAAAAAACCCTGAATGAATCGATGTCATTCAGGTAAATGCTTGCTTATAGCAAAGTAATTCTTTGCTATAAGCAAATTGTGTAAAAAAAAAAAAAAAAAATACTGATCACTTCCCCAAAGTAGTACAATGTTACTATGGTAACATTGTACTACTTTGGTCATAGTGAAATATGAAAAAAAAAAAATCTTAAAAAAAAGAAAAAAATTTTTAATAAAAAATAAAGAAATAAAAAAAAAAATATATATTTTTTTTTTCATACTGTCACCAGTCAGTGTCCCTGATCACTGCCATGCCAGTTATATGATGACGCTGTACTGCACTGGTGACAATATGTGAAAAAAAATTGTGAAACTAATTTTTTTCATTTTTTAATTTTCCGAAAAATTATGACAAAAAAAATACAACTTTAAAAAACTCGCCATGCCTCTTATGAAGTACGTCGGACTATCTACTGTGCAAAAAGGGGTCATTTGGGGGATATCTGTACTGTTCTGACATTCTTGGACCTCAAGAAATTAGATTGGCCGTCAGTACTTCAGGATTGATCAATATTCAGATCTATACCATAGTTTGTGTGAACTCTATAAAACTTTCCTACAAACTAAATAATACATCCTAATTTGGGTTATTTTCACCAAAGACATGTAGCAGAATACATCTCGGCCTAAATTTATGAAGAACAATTATTTATTTGCAAACTTTTACAACAGAAACAAAGAAAAACTTTTTTTTTTTCAAAATTTGTGGTCTTTTTTTGTTAATTTAGCAAAAAATAAAAACCCCAGCGGTGATTAAATACCACCAAAAGAAAGCTCTAGTTGTGTGAAGAAAATTATAAAATTTTAGTTTGGGTACAATGTTGTATGACCGCGCAATTGTCATTCAAAGTGTGAGAGCGCTGAAACCTGAAAACTGGCCTGGGCAGCAAGGTGTAAAATTGCCCAGTATTGAAATGGTTAAAGTCTCTTTCCTCCCTCAAGTTCCCATTCTGTTTTATAGAAAACTGATGGGTGGAGTATGACACAGTATTGGCCTTGAGAGAAAGGGACAGAGCAGGTAGTCCAGAAACACGATCAAATGAAAATGAAAATTCCCATAACATTCACCCAAATGCTTGCTATTATAGTCCAAGGAATGACAAGACAGCCAGACAACTGGCATTTCAACAGGGACTTGACAAGATTTGAGATATCTATGGGAAGGCTGATTGTACCTAAGTCAGTCTATTGATCAACTTAGGTACAACCAGCATGTCAGATCTTTACATGCGATTATTGCCAGGGGCTATAGCCACTAGCAATAATGACTGTGTTCTCCTGGTATGCCCCCTGCTGGGAGAACATAATAGCTCCGCAGGAGGGATTCCCCCATCAACACCAACTGACTGTGTTGATGGGGGAATTGAGCAGTTTTCTTTTCTGCAACCCATGGTTGCAGAAAAGAAAATTGCATTATCTATGGCCTGCCTAAATCTGTACTGTGTTGTACACTAGCACTTCTGAATGCTCAGACAGAGAACAATCCTAAAATAACAAACTAATTACTGTTCCTTAGATTTTGTTGGATGTGATGACATTTAGGCAGACAGGGACATTCATCAATTCTTTTGCACAGCCAGGAAATGCTAAAAAGGAGCTGTAAGGCAGATTTGTAGCTGATCTGAGACAGATTTATCATACTTAGGCAGCTTGGTTCACCCATTCCTCTTTAGCCGCTCTAAGGTAGCGGGTGAAAAAAACCTTCTCCTGGCTACTTCCTAAACGTGCCTGTTTGGAGTGAAAATATGATCTCCAGTGGTAAATCTGTTGCAGAAAAGTGAAAATCTGCTGCACCTGGCTGCCCAGGATTGAAAGCTCAGTGGTCACAAATACACAGAAAACTATTGCATACTATTTGTTAACTGGTAGGCAGCCTGTTTGCTTGATAAATGTCCTTCAAACTGTTTTATGAAAGTCTTGTCACACTTTGTAGGTTTTGTTCAACAAGCAAAGACCTGCGTCCCTCATGACATAAGATTATTTATCAGTGATGATGACAATGTATGAGTGTTGAATGTGCATGTGCGATAAAAAACATTATTTGATGATCAAATGGCCAGAGACATATTTCTAAAAATGTAGTGTGCATGCAGTATAAAACTCTTACCTCTTTCTTTCCATCGCCATCAAAATCACACAATGCTAATGAGCGTACATTATCGCCTGTAACCTAAAATAATAATGTATTGGGCGTTAGAAAACAATAAGGTCAACTTTAGTGCACTCTATATAATCTTCTGCAAGCATAAATACATCCAAAACAGTTTGGTTTAAGAGACATATTTTAACAATCCCAAAGCGTTAGTTGGGATCAGACTCCCAGCACCCTCCAGTTTGGTGCAGCTTCAGGCCTGGAAACCCAATGGATTCAATGGAGAGCCCAGGAATAAATAGCAGTGGAAAAAGATGAGAAGATAGAAGTCCTTCTACAGAATACTTGCCTTCAGGTGTGTCATTTCCAGCACTGACATGTTCAGGCTTCAGTCAGTGCACCTTGCAATACTACTGTCAAGTCCCTTGCCACTACTTGCGGGTCCCACGATACTCCTCTTCAGTCATTGGATGGCCACTGATGAAGTAACTCCAGTACATTGGCATAGGAGTTGCATCGTTCCTGGCACCCGCTTTTTATTCTCAGCAGGCTAAAAATAAGCCAGGATATACACTACAGCACACACAGTGTGTAATGTACAGGGGAAAAAAACAAACAAAATTGCTAGAAGCACATGACAAAGGTTTTTATAGCAAAATAGACTTTAAATATTTATTTTGCCATAAAATTAAAACTTTTAGCAATTACAGCAGGGCTTAGTTCCACTTTAAGAAACACAGTTCCATCACCTCAACCCCAGCACGTGACTGGAGACTGAAAGAGCAGCAGGGCAGTAATCAGTCATTCCACTGCTCCTTTCTCCTGTTAGCATGCTCCCTGTGAGCATATCTTTCAGTCTAAATGCTGATGTTTACCGGAGGCGTATGTACTTATGCTAGTTGCATTTAATAAAGAAAAAAAAAAAACAACAGCTGAGTATTAATTGACATTTTCTGTATAAGCTTTAATCAATGATTATGCAATTTGTACAGAAAATTTCTAGAAGAGGTAAATATTTATGTACACTAGACCAAATTATTTTTGCAAATGTGTTGTACGCACTTACAGTCCAAAACATGTCATTTCCTTTGCAGTCGAATCCTTGCAAGGCACAGTTTCCACCAATGATGGCAAGGGGACAACTGACGTCTCCCAGACTTCCTAGCACTACTGCATTAGCTCCATCTGCAATCTAAAAAAAACAAAAAAACAAAAAGACTTATTACTGATATCATAGTGAGAGCCACAGGTTACTTTTAGAACACAAGCAACAGATTCAGCTTTAAGTAAACACAGGGCACAAAGGGAAAATTACTGCAGTGTATAACTATATTTTATTTTAATTACCGGTAAATTTAATTATACATTTTTTTTATTTTTGGGTCCAGAATAAATTATTTGGACAAATATATGAATCTTGTCATTTATACTCCCTGTGTAAATGACAATAAAAAAGTCCCACTTTCACCCTTGAAAGTCCAAAATAATTATATAAACCTTTCAAGTGTCCGTGAAATTTTACAGAACATAAAAAAAAAAACCACAATAAATAATAAATCAAACCAGAAATTTCAAATGATTAATATTATAATATTATTAATAATTTGAAATGTCTGGTTTGATTTATTATTTATGAATTTATTATTGTCCATTTACTTATTGAGGATAATACACCATTAAGTTTTTCTTTGTTTTTGAGGTACACGGCAAGATGGTTGAGTGGAAAAGTATTCCTAAAATGTTCTTGTTGCAGCACATTCTACCAGTCATAGTCATACCTAAAGGAAGTGCAGAAGGCCTACTTAGCTGTCTGTGCAGGAAGAAGAAGGTCGCAATGCTGGAGCTACAAAGCTAACATGAAAGTCCAGAAATTATTATTATACAGGATTTATATAGCGCCAACAGTTTGCTCAGCGCTTTACAATATAACGGGAGACAATACAGCAACAATACAGTTCAATACAAGAGGATTAGGAGGGCCTGATCCTTGGAGCTTACAATCTAGGAGATAACTTTTCTTCTGTTTTGGACAGAGTGAAGGTGATATAGAACTTTGTCAGGTTTATATTTCCATCAGTGTCCACATCAGTAAAGATAAAACTTATTCAGTGCTTTTGTGCTATTCTCCACCCAAACAAAATATGGTGCTCACTTGCAGAGATAGACTTTTCTATTTGATAGTCATTCTGACATCTTGTAATAGAGTTCTCTCCCTGTAGGTGAGTAAAGCCATTCCTTTGGGTGGAGGACAGCACAAACCTGAGTGGTATGCACCTGTTTTTATCATCACTCAGCTCCTCATTTATATATACTGCTCAATCTGTGTACAAAAAGGGTTCTTCCCTTCGATTAGTGAGGTTCTAATTTGAGGGGGTGCATTCACAAATATTTTGGATGTTTTGAATACTAATCAAGCTGGGATTCAAACAATAGAAGAATATATTGAGCTAGCTACTAACTATCTCATGGCCTGCATAATCAAAAAACCTTCATAGACACACCAAAAAAAATGTAGCAAGGACTTTGGGGATCGATAAATTGTATGTACACCTCCCTATACCATGAGAAGGTTGCAGCAGCTGTTGAAGGAAGATAATAGGACATGCAGCATCTTTAAAAGCCTCAAATGGGTACGAAAAAGAATTCTCCTCTTCCCCTTTTTTAGAGTCCTATCAGGATCATGCATTGCTTTGCTAGGCACAAGGCACAATTTGTGAAATATGAATCGGTATCCTATAATTATACACTCTATAAAGTACAACAATAATATCAAATAAACTCCCTGTGTAAATGACAATAAAAAGTCCCACTTTCACCCTTGAAAGTCCAAAATAATTATATAAACCTTTCAAGTGTCCGTGAAATTTTACAGAACATAAAAAAAACCTCAATAAATAATAAATCAAACCAGAAATTTCAAATGATTAATATAAATAATATTATTATTATTATTATTATTATTATTATTATTATTAATAATTTGAAATGTCTGGTTTGATTTATTATTTATGAATTTATTATTGTCCATTTACTTACTGAGGATAATACACCATTAAGTTTTTCTTTGTTTTTGAGGTACACGGCAATTATTGGAATCACACGGCGAATTTAAATCAGAAATTGAAGAAAAATTCTTTGGACTTTGTTTTGGGGTTTTTTTATGTTCTGTAAAATTTCACGAACACTGGAAAGGTTTATATAATTAATTAGGCACAAGGCACAGCTGTCTCTAATGTGTCATGCTATTTAGTAGGGTCTACCCAAAAATATTGTATTCATTATGTAGTAACAGAAATGTAGAGACAATGGGGTTGGTTTACTAAAGGCAAAAAGACTGTGGACTTTGCAATTTCAGCTACACTCTGCAACTGTAAATTTGCTACAGAGCTTAGTAAATGAGGGGAAGCTCTGCTGACTTCCATCATCCAATCATGTGCAAACAAAAATGTTGTTTTTTAAACTTTTCTTTGCATGTTTTTATTTATTTATTTATTTCAGGTACTTACATAGCGCCGTCAATTTACGCAGCGCTTTTTACATATATATTGTACATTCACATCAGTCCCTAACCCTCAAGGAGCATACAATCTAAGGTCCCCAACTCACATACACATACTAGGGCCAATTTAGACAGGAGCCAATTAATCTACCAGCATGTCTTTGGAGTGTGGGAGGAAACAGGAGTACCCAGAGGAAACCCACTGAGGCACAGGGAGAACATGCAAACTCCAGGCAGGTGGTTCCGTGGTTGGGATTCAAACCAACGACCCTAGTACTGCCAGGCGGACATGCTAACCATTTAGCCACTTTGCTGCCCATGTGATTGGGTACTCTTTATACAGTGAGGCCTCGCCTCATTTACTGCTCTGGAGAAACTGCACAATCTATTTGCCTTTAGTAAATCAACCTCAATGTCCTCCACCTACACAGCCTCTCATTTAGAAGAATTATTATCAGTCACCTCTTTGTAGAACAGGTCAGAGTTGTTGTGGACATCATAGGCCAGGAGATTGGTTTGGGTTCCCACTATAAGGGAATCACAGCTTTGATGAGGGTCCAGCAATCCAGCAGTCAAGCAGCTGACACTCTGGTTGATGTTTAGTAGAGAAATATCTGTGTCCTGAATGCTCTGAACTAAGCGATTTGAGGAAGCCCGCTGATTCCTGGCATGAGGGTTATGTATGAAAACCTGAAAATAGATAATTATTACAAAAAATACACACAGACATAAAAAAAAAACAACATACAAACATGCTACTCATGAAAAAGATACTTATAAAATGGAAACTTTGGATCTATAAAATACTTCATTTTAAAAGGTAACTTTGCCTGAAATATTACATACTGTAAGACAAAGACTGTCTTAGACTGAAGACTTACGTTGGCCATAGATGGGTAAAAATTCGGATGGTTCAGCAGGGGCCAGCCAAATTTTGATCCGTATGCGGCTTTCCCTACCAACTTCTGTCAAACAAGCAAGCTGGAAACTTTTGTCAATCAGCGGCTGCAACCAATCGGCTACAGCCGCCTATCAGTGGATTCTGGCAGCAGAGAGTCCCGCTGTCAGAATACAATGTCCTGGCAGAGGTAATTTCTCCATCCACCTCATTTGTTTGGATGGAGGAATCTGTTCATGTTTTTTTTTTGCGCTAAACTTACTCCCAGCCCCATTCTAAGCCTCAGGTATCTAACCGTGTAAAGAAAGACTTCAATGCAAAAATGCCTCCCATTGACTTCAATGCAAAAACTGCTGCACCTCTGCCTGCAATCGCAAAATGCAGGTTCAGGTGCCATTATTTTCAATGGCATCTAAAACATGCTGTGGTTTTGCAGAAATTGTCACACAGCGAATTGCATTGTGTGAAGCTTGTCACCCAAAAGAAGTTCCTGCTACTTTTGGGTGACAAGCTTCAAGTGATGTGCCGCGATTGCCGAGCTGTAAATCGTGTGACAATTGTGGAAACCACACCGTGTTTTAGATGCCGTTGAAAATAATGACACCTGAACATGCGTTTTGTGATTGTAGTGCGTTTTGAGATTGCAGGCAGAATTGCAGGGATTCTGATGCAATTTCAAAATGCCGAGGTGTGAATGGGGCCTAATGGAGTGGACACCAGTGCTTGATTTGGCTGCTTAGCAGGCAATAATACTGAGCACACAAGTGCCTCCATGTGTGAGGGTAACCTGAAGGAATAAAGTTTTGCTTTTTTTTCTCATTGGGGCCTGCCTCTAAGTTACTCGCTTAGCAGATGTGCTTCTGCTGAGTGTTAAAAGAGCCTGACACTCCCCTACCCAGTCGTTGCTCATCACACTGCAAGGCTTCTCCCCTCCCTGTTAGTGCCCGGGTGCTGAAATGCTGAGGTTGTAAACGGGAGGGTAAATCTGTGGCCCTGATATCTAGGATGCTCTGTTATACAAATGTCAACTGTAAGAATTAAAGTCAAGGTTTGGCCTGCTCCCTACCCTATTGGTCAGTGGGGGGGTGTCATTGTGATGGGACAAAATTTAGGCACGGGATACAGCAGGGGATGGGCCTGAGCTTGACTCCTGTTCCTGAGGTTGGTATTTTCACTTTTCTTCGTAGACTAAGAATGCCAAACTGCCCCATGTGCTTCAAGCAGTTTAATCTGGACATTCACGGCTCAAATTTCAGCAGATTTCTGGTGAAGCAACCAAAATTTAAGGCATGGTTGTCCCCATCAGCACTACTCAGCTCGACAAAAGTCAAGTGAAAAATTAAAAGGAGTCAAGTGGAAAATCATTGGCCAAATATGAATGCAGCCTATCAGATAGATGGAGTTTCCCCTGCTGGCTTTGTATTTTTGTGTTTAGAGATCTAAAGCCAGACATAGATGGATCGAATCTCAGCCAGTTCAGCAGGGACCAGCCATGATTCCATCCATCTATGAGCAGACTGGTTGTACTGAAGATAATCCATCGATCAACTTCAGTACAACCAGCCTGTCAGATTTTTTGGATTCAATCACTGTAATCATTGTGTTTTGCCAGCCAGAAAGGCTCCCCGCCGACAGAACGCAATAGTTCCATAGGAGGGATTCCCCCACCAACACAGATAGTGTTAATTGGAGAATTGAGCAATTTTTTTTCCCTTCAACCTGTGGTTGCAGAAAAGAACATTGAATGATCTTTGGTCTGCTTAACCACTTTACTACCGTGCTATAGCCGAATGATGGCTACAGCACGGTTGTCCAGTTCTGAGAGGGCATCATATGACATCCTCCCCGAATGTGCCCCCAGCAGCGCGCACCTAGTGCTGTCTGTGATTGTTGTGTCCTTTGGACAAAGCTGATCACGTGACATGGTAAAAGGCCAATCATAGCGTCCATTTACCTTGTGATCAGCTGTGTCCAATCAGAGCTGACCACTATGTAAATACACTTACCGGTTTTCAGCAATACTTTCCTCATACTGCCACGGCGTGAGGAAAGTACTGCCGGTAAGCAGTAACTGTTAAAGCAGACATCTACACTGATAATCAAGGCACTGATTATCAGTGCAGCCCCAAAAGTGCCCATCAGTGCTGCTCATCAGTTCCCAACAGTGCTGCCCAGCAGTGCTACTAATCTGTGCCCATCAGTGCTGCCAGTCAGTGCCCTTCAGTGATACCTATTAGTGCCCATCATTGCAGCATCATTAGTGTCTCCTCATCAATGCCCACCAGTGCCACCTCATCAGTGAGGACTATCAGTGCGCATCAGTGCTGTCTCATTAGTGCCCATCAGTGCTGCCTCATCAACGCACATCAGTGAAGGAGAAAAATTACCTGTTTGCAAAATTTTAAAATAGAAACAAAGAAAGTTTTTTTTTTTTTTAATGTTTGCTCTTTTTTCATTTATAGTGTAAAAAATAAAAAAAACAGTGGTGACTAAATACCACCAAAAGAAAGCTCTATTTGTGTGAAAAAAAATTAAAACAATTTATATGGGTACAGTGTTCCATGAACACGCAATTGTCATTCAATGTGTGACAGCGATGAAAGCTGAAAATTAGCCTGGGCAGGAAAAGGGTAAAAATGCCCGGTAGGCAAATGCTTAAATAAATACAGTATGTCTAGCTTTACTTGGGGAAACACTTCCAGATATCAAACCCCCACAGCAGGCGATTCTCACTTTCCTTCTTTATTGCTAAGATTGGGTTTGCCTACTAAACATAAACACATACCTTTCCAGCCTGTGTAGCTGCAGTCAGACATGGGTGAACGCCATCATATTTTCCCACTGCCACCATTCGAGGATTGATTTTGTGATTTAATTTCAAGGTAAATATTGGGACAAGCATGATGAATCCCTGCAGACACACAAAGAACAACGGTAAATTATTAAAAAAAGAAGTAAATGTAAACATCTAAAATCTGAGGGGAAATACATAAAAGGGATCTGTTTTACCTGCCAAAGGATTTATAATTCTCTTCAGCCAATCTTGTGATTCAGCCACCCCTATAAGACAGTGGAGGTCTGACACCTACACTGCACCTGCAGCAGGATTTGGACACATCCCCAACCAGCTGATTAGACAATGAAGAATAAGCAGCACACTGAAGAGGTCATCCATCTGCTCACTACTGACATTTGATGCATTTTTTTATTTCAAGAATACAAAATTGCATTAATTGGTATTTATAATATCTTCCTAGAGCTCAGCTGTTAATACTGTACAGATTTTCAAGTAATATAATTGTCAGGAATGGACTCAGCACTGGTGGTGGGACTCACCTGCCGTGTGGGCTGCAGTACCACGGCTGACCAGCGGGTGCTCTCAGCAGCCAGAAGCTCACTCCTGCAATCAGCCAACACCTGGGGCTGATTGCAGGAGGTATATTTAAGGAATGGCCAGACCTGCAGTCAGTGCCTTGGTGTATGTTTCCCATGAGCCCCTGTACCTGGTATCCTGTGTTCCTGCCTATCTGCCTAGTTGCTGACCCTGCTTTCATCCTGACCTCTGCTGACCGTCTCCTGTTGAACCCCTGGCTTGCCTGACCATCCTTCTGCCTGATTCTCTGTACCACGCTGCCCGTGAGTTACTGAACCCGGCTTGTGACCCTGACTATTCTCTGCCTGCTCATCCGGTACCTCACTGCCCGCACGTTGCTGACCTGGCCGCCTGATGCTACCCAGACGATCCATCTATCCTGCACGGATCCAGTTACTACTGTCCAAACCTGCCAGCCCCTTCACATCAGGCTTTCCCCCGGTACATACCCTCGGTGGACCCCTCTGCCACAGTTGGGTGCACTCAGGGGCCTCGACCTAGTCTCAGTCCTGCGCCAAGTCCAACCTCACCATCAGGGGCTCTGGTGAAAAGGCAGACTGGGGCTTAGACTCCGCGCCCTGGGGAATCCTGTTCTGTGGGTCACTAGAGATCCCGCCGGGCGGTGCCTGACAGTACCTTACGGCCCGCCTGACCATTCCACCTCTCCAGCCCTGACTACGCCTGTGTTCCTGAAGCCTACTACTTCTCTGTGTCAGTCCACACATTTCTGGTCACACCCGGATCCCTGACATTAATCTAAAGCATGTATTTGAATAATACCAGGAACACACAAGGACAGCCATTGTGCTACCTAAAGCAAAATTCATGAAAAATGAATGTCTTATTGCACACCACATAATGTGTTTGAACAAGCTTAATGGTAACACAAGACAATTTAGTTCCTTGTACAGCGGATCCTGATTTGCTGGAACACAATAGTCTCTATTACAATAGTTTATATTACATGTCTTATATTACATTTGTTTTCAGAAGTCATCTCTTTATACATAAGGAAATGCAGATTATCCATAACCCCTGGGTCACATACTGTATATGTGGCTGTGCGGGCCGCGTTTTGCGTGGGCACCAGAGCCCATTCATTTTGAATGGACTCCCATGCCCAAGACATGCAGGGAAAGAAGTCCCTGCACTTCTTTGGAAAACACAGCCCACACAGGAACCTCGGTTCCCAGTACGGTTGCGTTTTCCAGTGTGGGCGGCGTGCCATTAGAACTAATGGCACCTGCCCACAGGTCCGTATTTCTCTGTGCGGGTGTACAGATTTTCGAGCGGATCCGCAGCGGCACCACCTGCACAGATGTGATCCTAGGGTTAGTCCTCATGCACACTGGATGTTTTTACAGCAGCTGTTTTTGGCTTTTGACTTTTTCTACAGCTAGTAAACTCCCCAGCATGTTATCCTATGTGTTTATCTACACATAGACTGTAATCAACTTTTTTTGGCAGGGACGTTCTTTGGCTGGAAAAAAAAAACCCAGGACTAGTGGGTTTCTAGAGGAGTTTTTTAGCTGTAAAAACACTGGAACGCTGAAAAACGTGGCAAACCGCCACAAACCGACGTTTTTGGACATTTTTTGACCCCCTCAAATTTTTTTTTTTTGGGGGGAAAAAAAAAACACTAAAAAACAAAAACACAGGAAAACTCCACTAAACACTAATGCAAAAACGCTAAAAACTCACATTTTTAACGTGACTTTACACAGCTAATGTTACCAGCGTTATCAAAATGTCCCGTGTGCATGAGGAGTAAAACTTTACGGGGATAGATCTACCAAAACCGGTGCACACAGCATCTGGTGCAGCTGTGCATAGTAACCAAGAAGCTTTTAACCCTTTGAGGTCCAAGGGACGTATTTGTCCCATATTTTTAATTGCCTGTATCATCTGATTAAGAACTTAAAATACTTTTTTTTTTGTTTGAGTCAAAATATTAGTTCTTATCAATAAATGGATCTAGCTTTTTGCCAGTTATTTCATGAAATGGCTTAGTTACAGCAACTGAAGTGTACGAACTTTAAAAAAAACTTTTGGCGTTCCAATTGATGACGGTAATCTTATGGTCCTCAAAGGGTTAACTTAAGCTTGTTCAATTAAGCTTTGACAATAATGTCCCTTTCACACTAGCGGTCTGATTGGGTCCATCTATCCGTTTTTCAGGTGGACTTGATCGGACCCTCTATTCTCCTCTATGGAGTGGCAGGTGTAAATGCACGTGTCCGTTTACACCTGCCTACATTCAGCCCAATCCGCTAAAAAGAAACAGATGGGGATCCATTCCCCTGCATCTGGATGGATAGGATCGAATGGCAGTCAGGTGTAAACAGACGGTCTGTTTACATCTGACTGCCTGTGTTTGATTTGTACAAGAGGAGAGGACATGAACCAGTCATCTGCCTGCTCAGCGGGGTGCAGTACATAAATACAGCAAGCAGACTCTTGGCAGAATCCGTCCCGTGTGAAAGGGGCCTAAGGGCCGGGTCACACTATAGAAAACGCAGTCCAGATGCATTTCCGCATGTGCGTTTTTGATGCATTCCAGGTCCTTTTCCCCTACCCCCTCTTCAATTTAAATAAGGACATGTGCGTTCCAGTGCGTTTTTGGTGCGTTTTGGTGCATTTTTGATGCATTTTACCACGTTCCAGTGCAGTACTGTGCAGAAAAAATGCAGCATGTTGTACTTTTTATTCTGCAACTGGAACTGCAAGCACTGATGTGAACTATGATATTGACAACCATATAACCTACTTCCTGTGCGTTTTGGATAAAGAAAAAAAGCAACCGAAACACATGTAGTGCGAACTGGCCCTAAAACCTGGACACTGATTGGTTACTATGCACAGCTGCACCACATTATGTGTGCACCAGTTTTAGTAATAACAGTGAAGTGGCGAGCGGGAGACCGGATGTGATTATTGCACCACATCCCTTAAAATTGCAAATATTCAATAGAGAAGATGAAACTTTCAGGGTGCATGAACATGAATACCAAATATATTAAAAAGTTATATAATTTTTATTTTTGTAGAAAACACAAGAAAGGAAAAAATAAAGAACATAAAAACAATTTCAGTACTAAGGGTAAAACTGAGATTCAAACTTGGTTAGGTAATTGTAGTTACTCCTTACATGTTTCGCCCTCACGGGCTTCTTCAGGGAAGATTTTTTTAAGGAATTTCAACCGCCAAGGCAGACTAAAGGTATATCAAAGGACAATTATATAATTACCAAACAAGTTTATTATATATCCAATACTAAGTATTTAATCAAATATATGTATATATGGGACTCAATGGCTCACCCTGGATGTGAAAGCTCACGGAGCAAAGGTTCTGAGTTGCAAGCCACTTCAAAAAGGGTAAAATTAACTTTATTGTTCAGCTAAGTTGAATTGATGTGGACAGGCACCACTGAAAACAATGTGATTTCCCACGTCGCATGGCTTCATCTTTCATGAGAAACATATTTATCTAGATCCTAGTAAGAAGACCTCCTTCACCCTCAGTACTACCTAAACCAGTGGTTCTCAACCTTCCTAATGCCGCGACCCTTTAATACAGTCCCTCATGTTGTGGTGACCCCCAACCATAAAATTATTTACCTAGTAATTATAATTCACGAAGTATCGTTTTACCTTCAATACTGCTGCTTTCTACACAGTAGCTGCTTTCTACACTGTAGCTGTTCTTTACACATCGGATATATGTGTTTTCCGATGGTCTTAGGCGACCCCTGTGAAAGGGTCCTTCGACCCCCAAAGGGGTCGCGACCCACAGGTTGAGAACCACTGACCTAAACAGTCACAGTTCTGCTGTGAGCTTAGTTTTCAGGTTCCCTCTTCTGAAGGCACTATCCATATAGCCTTCTAAAAAATTCACTACTGTATGGGGGCCAATGACACCAGGTTTATGGTAAACAAAAACCATCTCCATGCCAAAGCCACCAATTCCCAAATGGTGCCCCTTGAATCTCAGAGTGGAGGGACATTGTGTCAGCTGCTCACAAATCACATTTCCACTATTTCCACACACATCTATGTTGCACACAACAGTGATCTGCTGAGTCCCATCCTCCCAGCAGACGTAAGGATTAGCCTGTAAGGAGATAAAACCACTAAATCTAATAACAATACTGCTCCCTGGACAAGTCAGTAAATCACTGACATAAGGCCAGAGAGAATATGGTGCCCTGGGTGTAAACATAAAGCCCTATATATGAAGTATTGGTAAAAAATGTATGTTTAGGACTGAAAACCTTCTGGGATCCAAGCAGCCAGTGCATCCAAAAAAATACTAATTTTAAAAAGACTAATTAATTCAGTTTTGAATTTATTAAAATTGTTACATATCATATTATATACAACAAAGAAAATGTAAGTAAATTAATCTGATACCAGCTTCTGCCCAGCCGACTGAGCAATGGGCAGCACTTCAAGTCATTCCGGATTTTATTGCATTGCACGATGATTACAGTCTTCCTTCCTGAACATGCTTACAGGGGAAATCAGAGG